CAAGGTTTGAATTGCATTTTTTCAGTGGTGATATCCTAGTGTTAAAGTTTGAATTACATTTTCTCGATGGTGATATTCGAGTTTAAAATTTGAATTTGCATTTGCATTTCTTCGATGGTGATATCCGAGTATTAAAGCTTGAATTACATTTTCTCGATGGTGATATTCGAGTTTCCTTCGGTGGTGATATCCGAAGTCATTTACATATTCTCGGCGATGATATCCGAAGTCATTTGTATATTCTCGATAATGATATCTGAAGTTATTTGCATATTTTTTATGGTGATATCCGAGTTTAAAGTTTGAATTTGTATTTGCATTTCTTCGATGGTGATATTCGAGTATTAAAGCTTGAATTACATTTTCTCGATGGTGATATTTGAGTTTCCTTCGATGATGATATCTGAAGACATTTACATTTTTCAGTAGTGATATGCGAGATTATTTATCCTTCGATAGTGATATTCAAAGTTATTTTTTAATAAAATTTTAAAGTTGTTAAGCCTCTGCTAAGATGAGCCTTTTCTGAAGATAAGAATTTCTTTAAAGTTGTTGAGCCTCTGCTTAGAGGATTTTTTTTTTTAGATAAGAATTTCTTTAAAGTTGTTGAGTTTCTGCTTAGAGGAGCTTTTTTTAAGATAAAATTTTTAAAATTGTTGAGCCTCTGCTGAGATGAGCATTTTCTGAAGATAAGAATTTTTTTAAAGTTATTGAGCCTCTGCTTAGAGGATTTTTTTAAGATGAGAATTTCTTTAAAGTTGTTGAGTCTCTGCTGAGAGGAACCTTTTCTGAAGATAATAATTTCTTTAAAGTTGTTGAGCCTCTGCTGAGAGGAGCCTTTTCTAAAGATAAAATTTTTTTTTAAGTTGTTGAACCTCTACTGATATGAGCCTTTTTCAAGATAAAATTTTAAAGTTGTTGAACATTTGCTGAAATGAGCCTTTTTCAAGATATTTTTCAAGATAGAATTTTAAAGTTGTTGAGCCTCTGCTGAGAGAAGTCTTTTTCAAAGATAAGATGAATTTTAAAGTTATTAAGCCTCTGCTGAGATGAATTTTTTAAGATATAATTTTTAAAGTTATTGAGCCTCGAATAAGAGGAGCATTTCAATTTGATGAGAAAAGCTTTTTTATTAGTTTAAATAAAAAAAAATCTCTTTGAATTTTGGATAAAATTGTTATCTTTATTTTTGCTCTATTTTTTATTCTCAGTAATGTACAAAGAGGGATAACTGTGGATACCAAATTTGTCTGAATTTTAAGTAAGGGTTTTCGGGTCGGGGCTCAATTTCAATTCAATTGGGCTTTAAGCATAATTTTAATTCAACCAAGCCCAAAGTCTGATTTCGGTTAAACCCGAAGCCCATTTTGTTATTTAGGCCCAGCCTACTCTTTATTTTCTTTATTTTTTTTTATAAAAATATAAAATAAAAAAGAAAAATGAAAGGGAAAAAAACAAGCAGAAGAATACAAAGGAAGGAAAAAAACAAATGAGAAGGGGGCTAGTGCCTGGTGCCTTGCACGGCACCACCCACCCACGTTAGGCCCTGTGCCACCTGCTCAGGCACAGGTAGGGGTGTAAACGAGCCGAACCGAATAGTGAGAAGCTCGAGCTCGACTCATAATTCGGAGCTTGATACTCGACTCGAGCTCGATCGAGTTTTATTTTTCAAGCTCGAGCTCGATTCGTGATCGAATTCGAGCTACTTGAGCTCGCTCGATTAAGCTCAATTAATATATAAAAATAAGCTCGATTCGTATATTCAATAAGAGTTTGATTATTCATGCTCGAATTCGAACTCAAACTCGAACTCGAAATATTTTATTAATTAAAATAATAAAAATATATTTAAATATAAAAGCTCGATTAGGCTCACGAGCTACTCGAGTCAGATATAAGAATACTCGAATTCGGCTCGATCGATAAGTCGAGCTACTCGAGCTCGAGCTCGACTCGACAATAATCGAACCGAATTCGAATTTTTTTCGAATCGAACCCGAGTAGCTTGCGAGTACTAATGTATCATTTACACCCCTAGGCACAGGGCGAAGGTTAAACAATACAGAAGGATAATGGGGCAAAAAGAGGGCCTGATGCTTGGGGTACCGTATACGACACCTCCCTTTGCCAAGCTCAGTGCGACTCATTCAGGCATAGGGCATGGTCGGAGCTTTATAAATTGAGCTCCGTGCCATACCAAAAAATAAAGAGAGATTCTACGAAAAAAAAGTTTCCACAATAAAAAAAATCTTTCTGCAAAAAAAAATCATTCAAATAAAAAAACACAGTCCCTTGGAATGGGGAACCCAGTGCCAAAAGCTTTCTTGCAAAAAAAATCAGCTTAGCTGTTTAAAAAAAAAGAAAAAAAGAGGTTTAACCGAACCTTTGAGGCTCGATCTAGGGAGTTTCAATGTGATTCAGGTAAAACTAGGCCTCGATCTGTGTTTAGGGAGTCGAAGAGAATTTTTTAGGATCTTTTAAGATTTTTTAACAATTGTAGACGGCGGTCAGTAGTCGGCGACCACCAATGGTGACTAGAGTGGCGAGGATGACCGGTCTACCGGTTTAGAGATAGAGGATTTGAGAGTGTAGAGAGAGAGAGAGAAAGAAGAAAAAATGAGAGAATTTTTTTTTTTACTTTTGTAGGAAGCTAAAAGTCAAAACAATGTCGTTTCATTAAATGATCAAAATGACGTCATTTTGAATCAAATGATCTGCGCGTCAGCCCTTAACCCTACTCGGGGTCCGCGCACCTGACCCGACGACCTGCTTCACCTTTAGCTCCTAACCGGTCCAACTGAACTAGGACTGAACCGCTGAACCCGATTCGGATCGACCCCGAACCATTGAACGTGACCAGACTGCCGGATCGACTTTGACTGATCCGGTTTAGATAAAAAAAATTTTATATTTTTATATTTTTTAAGTATTATTTTTGTTACTTTAAATTTTATTATTAATATTTATGATGTTAAAATGTTTAAAATTGCTATAATAAATTTTTGTTATTTTATAATATTGTTAAAATTTTTATAATTATGTTATTTTTAAAAATAAACTTAATAATAATACAAAATTAATAAAAAAAGTATGAAAATGAAAATTTTACCCGATAATGAGATTTAAAGGTATTTCAAATAGTGATACTTATGCAATCTTTAGGTGAGAAGATTTTTTTAAATACTACCAGTGTATTAGAGTATTTATAAAAAAATTTTAATACAATAAAAAAATTTTGGTTATAGAATATTAAAAAAATTAATTAATAAATTAATAAAAAGTAATCAAATAATGAGAAAAAAAGAAATTTTATCCGATGATGGGATTCTAAAAGTATTCTGAGTACAGATGTTTTAAGAAATCTCTAAGTGAGAAGATTTTTTTTAATATTACCAGTGTATTGGAATATTTATAAAAAATCTTCAATATAATAAAAATTTCTTTTTTTTCATTTTTTAAAATGAAAATAATAATAAATATTAATAAAAATTAATAAAATTTTCAAATAAAAAATAAAATGTGTGCATTAACGTATTATCATTTGCATTGCATGCACGACATAAAATTTTTTACGAAACATAAATTTAAAACTTTAAAGATGAGATTCTAAGGTATTTTGAGAAGTGATGCCTAAGAAATCTCTATGTGAGAAAAAGTTCTTTTAATGTTACCAACGAATTGAAACATTTTAAGAATTATTTCAATAAAAATATTCTAATTTATTTTTCTCGAATAAAATTTGAATAATATACTTTTTAAAAAATAAAATAAAATAAACTAATTTTTAATAAATAAAAAAAATAAAAAAATTATTTTTCAAACACACATAAAATAAGACTGTTTTTATTAAAATAATAAGATAATATGTAGTTAAGTGGTATTGTTTTTAAATGGATGCTGTGGGAGCGCTAATCCTTCTTTATACGTAACCGACTCTCGAATCCAGACTGTTTCGTAAATTATAAATTTTTTTTAATAAATTTTAATTAATTTTAAAATCTTATTAAAATGATAAATTTTAATAAGTGACCAATCGTATCTAATCAAAAAAAAATTGATGACGATTTTATTTTTTTAAAATTTTTAATTTTTATTTTTAAATTCGTCGAATAACTCCAAAACTGTTTTAACAATACCAGCTAATTCTATACTGTCACCGGTTTATCCAACGTACTGGTCAAGTAATTGAAGTTGAGCTGTGAACTCGAGGTAACTCTTGCTACACTGCTTCAAGTTTGCGGAAACTACTTGTTACCCCTCCCATGCAACCGCTCACAATAGTTACCACAGCTTCGAGGAGTCTCCTTTGGTAACCTAATGCAGTAAAATTTCTGTGAATCTAACGGCTATCCGCATCATGTTCACCATAATTACATAGCATATCCTCTTCAAATATTTCATATCAAGTTTTTTAAAAATATTTGATTGCCTACCTGGACACGGTGGCTCGTCCTCCCAAGTTCCAGTCAGAAAGCATTTCTCCCTGACTAACCTTTTATTCTCCACCTTTTGATAACAATGTATAAATCCAGAAGAATTTCTTGATAAATAGCCATGCTTTTGTATGATATCAGCGAACTCTCCTCTTGTCCTCCAGGAAATCGAAAGATGGCTTACTTCTCTAATCAAACTAGAACTATCAAAGATCAGACACCCAAACCAAAGCACTAAACCCTCCTATATTATTTCTATAAAACTAAAATTTCAAAACACTGCTCACTATTAGCAATGCTACAAATAGATCCTATGGTCTTTGCAGTCTTCCATGCCTCACAAATTCAGTAATTCACAACGAAACAGAGACACGACACCGCAGCAGAAACAGACTTAACATTCTGAACAATGAAAAACAGATTTAAAAAAATTAAAAACCAACGGCATAACATAATCATTCTTCCAGTCTAAGTTCAAGCATATAACAAAAAGGTAACATCTCCAAATGCAAAAATCTAGAATTTATGAGAAAAGAGAGAGAGAGAGAGAATAGAGTGGAGGATAGCTTCACTCTTTCAAAGTTAAGACCTATTCGTTTACCCCTTGGCCTGTAGAAAAGAAAAATATCAAATCGAAATGTATTAGCAATTCGCCTAGTCAATTAGCTGCACTTTCATTTTAGGGAAAAGAAATGGCAATCGTCAGGAAGAAGATGACCAGGCAAAGGATTGTCGTAACCAAGGACTTCAAGATGCTTTTCGAGGTGTAACTGATACATTAATACTCGCAAACTACTTAAGTTCAATTTGAATAAAATTTGAATTCAATTTAATTATTATCGAGTAAAATTCAAGTTCAAGTAATTCGACTCATTGATCAAGTAGAATTCAAATATTCTTATACTCAGTTCGAATAGTTTACGAGCTTAATCAAACTTTTATATTTAAATATAATTAATAAAATATATCGAATTCGAACTCAAATTCGAATATAAATAATTGAATTTTTATGAAATATAAAAATCGAATTTATTTTTATATGTTAATCGAGTCTAATCGAACGAATCTGAATAGCTCAATTTTTATTTCAAATCAAATTGAGCTAAAAAAAATTTTATCGAGTTTGAATCAAATTTTAAGTTTTAAATTCAAATTGAACTCGAATTTAATATTATATCTACTCAAATTCAATTGATTACTCCCGCACTTTCCATCCCTTAGGGATCTGCTATTAGCAGCCATCACCCCATAAAATGGCTTGTTTTTGCATGGAAGATGCTAGCCTTCAGAGAAGATGACATAAAAACACACCAAACTCAGCTCAGAAGGCACCGATGTCTACTCTAGCAACTGCAGCAAAGTTCGAGTCTGGAATGAAATAAAATCAGTCCGTTGTCCGTACTAGGTTAATGGTGAATCAAGGGATAGTAGAATTGGTGAAGGTTAAAAAACTGGCTCAGCAAAAATATTCAAAGCTTTTGGATTTGCTGACTTTATAATGGTTAATGTGGCTGAAGCATTTAAAAATGGGTTTTTTGGGGGTTGGGGGGATGGTGGATTTTTTTCATGTGAATGAGAATTGATGAAATCTATAAAGAAAGGAGGCTGGCTAGTGCTGTCTGTATATCTGCCATAGTCAAGCATTCATTTAAGTTATTTTCAGCACCAGTCAAGCAGGTGAAGCATTTAGCACGTTTCATTATTTTTTATGTCAGTTAACAGGGTAGAGGCCAACTGTTGAGCATAACAATTCATGGTATAGGCCGGTTATCATCGCTGTGGCCGTACCAATTGATGGAGGTGAAATACTTCTTTTCCCTGGAAATTTACGAGTCTTTATCTTCTTACTCCGAATTCTGAAACCTTGGCTGCCAGTAATATTGTCAGGTACACTCTTTAACCTCTGTTATCCAATGAGCTTAATTCTGGCTGTGTGCAGCCTAAGAATCTCAAGTTTTGTTGATCTGCAGTTGACTAAATATGGAATAAGTCATTTCATTCTGAAGGAAAACTATGAAAGTTGCAGTAGGGATCTCTTATCATTCATTTTGAATCTATGTAGCATTTCTTTATCATGAGAAAGATTAATCTTTTTTTGGGGTTTATTTTTTGGCTTTAAGCAAGGGGTTTGCAGGATCTCTAGATCATTGCATCTGTTTCAGAACTTGCACGCTAATAATCCAAGTAGTATTGGATCTGATGAAGATGATAAAAGGTTCCCATGTTATTATTGTCTTTAGTTCAGGAACCAAATATTAAATTTGATCTGTACCACTACTAAAGTACTTATTTGAATTATGTTCAGCTCAGTCTATGTGAATGATTCTAACAGTTTTTTTTTTCACAAAAAAGTAGTGATGAAAAAATTCCAAGTACTATCATTAAATTTTAAAATTTATTAAATATCATGTTATGATCATATAAATTAATTAAATTAAATTATATATTCGTTCAAATTACTATTTACTTTTAGTATTTAGTCGAGGAATCTATCTTGGAGTCCATGGTTTTGATAAGGTGGAGCCCTCTGCTTTCGATTTGAAGAAAAAAATTATTACCCTTGGCAAGGCTAAGAAGTCTTCTTCCTTGGTGTAGGTTGGCCCATCTTGTTGACATTTCAAATTTTTTTGTTCGGTTTTGATTCACTGATTCAAATTTGTTTGAATCTTTTTGGATTAATTTAAATGATTTTAATCTTTTTTCCGATCAAGAATTCAAACATTTTTTAAAATTTATTGCTTTTAATATTGTAGTGAGAATTGATTATTTTGCTAATCTACAGTGACCATCACTTCTCAAAAGAACCAAAAATCACGGTACAATTAACAAATGTTCTTTAGCTGACGAAACTATCCATTTCTGAAACAAAATTCCAATCATTTGCCAGCTTAATTTGTTGAAACTACGTAAACCAGATGCGGAAAAAGGCGACATCAGATGGTGCAGGCCAGTTCGGGTCGGCTGCACAACGCTTTCTGCAGGTTGTCCCCCGACCCTAAGACATATTAAAATCATAGCAAAATCTTAAATTGTTTTTTGGTACATAAAATCCAATGCAGATATGTTGCCCAATCCAATCTTTTAACTCGTATTAAAAAGTGTTGGTCCTTAAAAGTAAATGCGACGAGTCCTAAAATTGTATTTTATAAAATATTAAAATTTACATATTTATATCATATTTTACATAAAAATTATATATTATAATATATATTAATATAAAAATATAAAATATATTTTTAAATTTTATTAAATTTATATATAATTTAAATTATATTATTTTTATATTTTTTTTATATTATATTTTAAATCATCAAATCTACTCAAAAGCATCATGTTAACTTTTACAATGAAATCATTGGTAGGATTCACAAACTTAATATCAGTTACGTCAAGATGAGCAAATTTACCGATTGAATCAATGTTAGTGGGTCGAAGACATGTTAAACTTCCGAAAGTCTTGATTCAGAAACAGACCCCTACAAGAAATTTACGTTACTCTATCCCTCAAAAATTGGTTCAACTAGCGGCCCAGTCGTAAAAAGGGCATCATGTGAATTTTGAAAGCATCAATCGACTACTTCAGCGCTTCATGGTCCCTACTACTGTTTGTAGGAAAGCTCAATCAAAAGCCTCCATGTGACTTTGCTGCTTGTAATCAAATCCGGCCCCCGCCCACAACTCCTTGCTATAATTACCGTTAATGGAAAAAATGTTGGAAAACCCAATTAAAATTAAAATGCATTTTTTACTAAAAGAGTAATAATTATGCTTTGGTCAATAAATCAACGTTTGAAAAGACCGAGAAGCAATATTGGTCGGTGTCTTCCACGAAAAAAAACGGTTGGCCACGCTAGCATAGCCCCCCAAGTGGAAATTAACTGCCACGGAGGAAAAAGACCGGTTCACTAACATCACTGAACCGGGTTCCCCTTCAAGTTCTAGTCTCCAACTCTATTTATAAAGCAGACCCCAAAGGCCAAAACCAACTCAAAATTCACCGAAAAAAAAAGAAAAAAAAATACAGTGTGTATAAAACCTGCCTTTGAATAGTAATCGCCATGACCACTTCCGTGAAGAACAACTTCCTACCTCCTCCTTTGATCTCCAATCTCCAGCAAGTTCTTATATCCCGAAACGACACCGTTGAACACCAATCGACCAATTTCAACTCCTTCGACTCAACCTCCCTGAACTCCTCTCCATCTTCCTGTTCACGCAATGAGGAGCCACATTGCTCTAAGCCAGAGCTTCTGATCACCAATGGCGAAGGAATAGATTCACCTGGCCTCGCTTTCCTCGTTCAAGCTCTTCTCTCCGACGGTCGTTTCAGTCTTTACGTCTGCGCTCCTCAATCGTCAGTTTTTTTTTTTTTCAAAATTTCATCTCACATTTTCTTTTCAACTAAAAATATATGCAATGTGGTTTAATGGAGTAAAGTTTTTGTTAGTTTTGAACCAGATCAGTGTGAATCTTAGCAGAGGCCTTTTTTTGGAAATTTCAGGGATAAATCGGTTGCCGGTCATTCCATTACGGTACGAGAGACGGTCGAGGTATGTTCGGTCGTAATGAGCGGTGCCCCTGCTTTTGAAGTTTCAGGTAACTAACTCTATAGTTAAAATGGAAAATCTTGAATTGGATGATGCTGTCACCTTGAAATCGGCTCAAATTCCAGCACCTGCAATACATTTACCTGTTCCCAAGCCACGGCCTCTTTGTATAAAAAAAAAAGAAAAAAAAAAGTAATTGTACAAAGTAAGAAATTTGTTTATTGTCTTTATGATCAGGAACTCCTGTGGATTGTGTCTCGTTAGCTCTGTCTGGAGCATTGTTTTCATGGTCAAAGCCCGTTTTGGTATGCCCTTTTTAGTTGTTGCTTTAAATTTGAGATTGTCCATGTTTTAGAACCAATGCTTTTCTTATATCTGTATGTTTTTCATTTTATTATTATACAGGTGATTAGTGGAATGAATAGAGGATCAAGCTGTGGCCACGACGTGTAAGTATTTGTTGTCTTCATAGCCTATATATGCGCTGTCTTTCCCTTCTTTGTATTATCTTTTTGTTAAATTTGATGGCCATTGTCTCAATTCTAATCTTTTTCTTTGCAATGTCCATGACTTATTACTATTAGGTTTTTCTCAGGAGCTGTTGCCGCGGCTAGAGAGGCGCTAATTTGTGGTGTGCCATCTCTTTGCCTGTCATTCAACTGGTAAATATTATTTCTTATTGAAGTTTAGTATTTCCAGAGTTTTGTGGTATGTGATGACTTTATATTAATTTTAGGAAGAAAGATGTGAGCTGTGAAAGTGATTTGAAGAATGCAGCCAATGTTTGTTTGCCTTTAATATACACAGCTGTAAGAGATATTGAGAAGGGAAATTTCCCGGGATGTTGCTTACTGAAAATAGAAATCCCTTCTTGTCCCCTAGCAAACAAGGTAAACCCTTTTCGGTAATATGTAGTTTCTCTTATTTTCATACTGATAATTGAAGATAAACAGTGTTGAAACAGTTGCTGCGTGAAAATATGCAGAGACAGTTCAAACTCCCTAATCACTTTTACATTTCAAATGCGATAAGTTAATTAGATGAGTTAAATTGGATTAATAAGGAGATAAATGAGGCATCTATAGATGGGTGGAATCTAACTGTTTTCTTTGTAGCTGCAAATGTGGTAGATAATTCATATATTGTTGGCACAATTTGTGTTTCACAGGGATTCAAATTGACCAGGCAGAGCTTATGGAGGTCACCTTTAAGCTGGAAAGCTGTGTCAGCAAATAGGCACCCTGCTGGTAGTCAATACCTGTCTAATCAGCAAAGCCTTGGTATTAAGCTTGCACAACTCGGCCGAGATGCCTCTGCAGCCGTAAGTACCTGTCACAAAACAAAAGAATCTCCAGGTTCTAATTCAGAAGCAAACTTGCTTTAGCTTTAGTCCTTAAATGGCTCTCTTTTTGGACTTTTCAGGGTGCGGCAAGGCGATTAAACTCACATAGGAAGAATGTTGAGATTGAATCTGTTAGTGTTGCTGGAAAATTAAATGGCCAACATACAGTGAAAAAATACTTTCGCTTAGAGGTAAGAAAAAAACTATGACTACTACAATTAGCACTCTATCAAATCCATTGTTTTTAATTTTCATTGCTTTTCAAAGAATTCTGCCAGCAAGCATTTGATGTTGAAACAGATTTCTGCGGTGCCCCCCACTCACTAGTTTATACATTTATATTTAAGCAGTTCTTGGAAAAGGAGAGGGAAGATGCAGACGATGATCTAGATTTCAAAGCACTAGAAGACGGATATGTGAGTTGGAATTGCCCTTTTTACTACAACTTTTCATCAAATCTTTTCTTATTGCTTATTTGGTTTTATCTTGTTGGAATGGCAGGTTACTGTAACTCCTTTATCATTATCTTCAACCGATCAATCCAAGATTGAAACCTTGGTTTCAAACTGGATTACAGTTGCACTTGCCAGGAAACAATGAAACGAAGTTTCCTCTGCTATTTTGTGTATTCCATGTATTTCCCATCGTGTATCAGATCAGTACGGTGAGAGCTACGAAAAAATGAGTGATGTTTGAGTTTGTGTAATATGCAGGCTCTATTGCCTCCTTTTAATTTATATGTTTGGCAAGTTGCCGGCCGGTAAAAATTGCCTGGCAACTCATATTACCTATGGTGCTTAATTGTTTGGACTGGGTAGCAAGCATTATATTCTTGATGGTTAAATTTTCATTTGGGACTGAAATTCGGAAACAAGACTTGTAGCATATGGCAACAAATGCTCATGCCAGTGACATTTTCCCTGTCAAATGTTCATAGCTTTCTATATTTCCCCTTTCCTTTCCCTAATTCCTCTTCTTTTACTACAGATGTCCTTTAGGTTGTAAAAAAATTGTATCCTATACCAAAATACACAACAAGCAGGTCCCTTGAACATCTATACCCTATATTATCAAACTCTGCTGTTGAAATCGTGGTATTACATATTTGATGCTTGGCTTACATATAGCAAAAGAAAATCTTTGGGGTTCTGCCATTGCAGTTTGTGCCTGAGATTGAGATATGTCGGAATGTGATGTAAGTTGGGGTCGGATGGTTTGATTCGATGAGCAGACCAGTTAACGAACTAACAACTGTAACGACGGAATCAAATGTTTTTTTTGCAGCTGACAGACTGTACCAGGAAGAAGCAGAAGCAGCGTTGCAGGCCCACTTGAAACTTTACTATCATCTACCATTCACAAGTTGACACCTGTACTCATTGGTACCATAGTTTTAAAACAGGTGGAAAAGGTTTTAATCTTGGGCTTTAGGATTCGACGGCTACAGCTTTAAAGGGCTAACCGTCGGGTTTTAAAGGACTTCTCTATCAGTAAAAAGACTATTATGCCCATGATTTGTTGGTCCACCACTACCAGGCCATAAAAAGGCTTCATTTTTTGGGCTTTGGGTGAAACCAGAAAACGCTTTGCGCAATAATAGAAATGCAACTTATTTGTTTTCAAATTGGTGAAAACAAAGACATGAAATATTCTCTCCTTTTTTTTAGTTTGTTTATATTTTATACAATCTTAAAGATTAATATTTTGCTTTAAACTTAGTTATTTATTAATTTTGTATCATGTGCAGGAAATTGAGAAAATAATAAGAAGCTTACATCCGTTTTTTGTTTGTTATTCAATTTTTTAGTCATAATCTTTTACGTAGTATTCCCTCTATTTCAAATTATTTGGATATTATTAATTTTAGTGAAATTTAAAAAGAAATTAAATTTTATGTATTTAATATTAAATTTTAATTTTTTATAAAATTAAAATTCAAGATTTTTAATGTTAAAAAAAGAAAATCATAAAAATAATTTTAAAATCTAAAAAATAAAAGTGTTAAATGTTAAAAAAAATGATATAATTTTGAAATATTTTTAAAAAATTATGGATAAAAAAAATGAGACAAAGGATTACTATTATCAAAGCATCATCTTGCAATAACAATAATAATCTAATGATGTATGTACCTCGATAGAGTTGTTATATTATTTCAATAAAGACACTTTTTCTTTATAAATAAATGTTTTGTAAAATAAAAGATTATTCACTTATTTTTATTAAAAAAGCCATTATTTTCTCATATTTTTTAATTTATCTTTCTATGTAAAGGAATGCACCATGACTTACAAATTTAGAATCTCTTACTTAAATTTCATCTTATTAAGTCCCAAAAAAGAAAAAATTAACATAAAATATCACAATATAGAAACAAATAAAATGAGTTGCACATGTTGAAATTGAAATATAGATATCCTGAATGCTTAAAAATGGTTACATAAATTAACTAAATTAAAACTTCATTTGTTTCATAAAAATTAATTTTCAAATTAATTTTTTGTATTTTTTTTATAAAATTGATATATTAAAACTTTTTATTAATCAATGAAAATTAAAGTAATTTTCTTTGAAAATTATCTTTCCCTTAAACAAAAATTTGAAAAAAAATCTATAGATAAAACTACTGATAAAGTTCGAGAATATATTCAACCAAGTTTAACTTTAAACGTGATTTTGTTATATCTATAAAATATTATTATTTAATTATTTTTATTTTTAATTAAAAAAATACTTTTTAAAAAAAATTCCAAATGCATTAAGATCACGTGACAAATAGAGTACAAATGAATAAAAAGCACGTGACAAGGTGACCCTCACCTTGATAGTTGCCTAATTTATTTTTTTTAGACTTAATAATTCATATATTTGTATTATATAAAATGTTGAAATTTATGTATTTGTATTATATTTTATATAAAAATTATTTATCATAATTTGCGTTTACACAAAAATATAAAATATTTTTTTTTATTTTATTAAACTCATATATAATTATTACTAAAATTTTAAATCGTGTCTTTTTTATATTTTATTTTCGAATCGTATTCATATCATATTATTATGTCATATTTTAAATTGTCATGTTTATTATTTTTTTAAACTCATATCCAATTTAGATTAGTCCGTAGTACCAAATGAGGTGCAAATTTCGCTTTTAATTACATCATGCATATGTTTGGCAAACACAAGTGTAGAATGGTAGGATTTAATCCATTATGTTGCTCTATTTTTTTAATTGGATCTTTATATCATATTTGATATATAGAATAATGGATATGATAATATAATAATTATTTTATATTATATTTGATTTGTATCTAATTGAAATATATATATGATTACAAGATAATTTATTATCCTCTTTATATAAGATAATTCAATCTTCTTATAATTGAAATAATTATTTTTAATCTATAAGATTAAATTTACATATCCTATTATATTCTTAAAAATTATATCAATAATTAAATTGTATAAATTATAAAGAAAGATAATTTTTACGAATAAATAAATTATCTTATTTTAATTATTACACCTATCAAATATAAAATATAATGAAATTATTTAATTTAATATTATTCATAATATTATATTATTATATTTTATCATAATTTTATGAATCAAACATGACCTTTATGAGTTAATGAAATTTTTAATTTTCAATCACAGCTCCCTTATCTTTTATGCTCCTCTTATCTTTTTTTTTTTTTCCTTCTACTTCTACTCTACGATATAAATACAAAAATGTCCTAACTTTTGTCTTTTAATTATTTTTCATTTTTTTGTAATTTTATTATTTTGCCTGACTTTTTTATTATTTTAAATATATCATTTATATAATTATATAATAAAATATTAATAAATAAATAGATTAAATAATATAAACAAATAATTAATTTTTATAATCAAATAAATTCCTAGTAAATATTAAAAAATAAATATATTAATTAAAATGTATTGCTAAATAAATAATAAAATAAATTAATATGAATAATATTATTTTAAGATGTGTATTCTAATTTTTTAAAATTATAATTATTTATATTTATATTTGAATTTGTTTATTTTGTTATCATTTTTATTTTAGTATTATATTTATAATTGTTATAAGTATTATTTTTTTGAGATCTTAAATATTTCAAATAATTTTTAATACTTAAAATTTTGATTCTATTTTAATATAAAATATATAAAAATATTTGCTATTATATTTTTAGACTAATGCCTTAATAGTTTTTTTTTTTTTATTATGAGGTATTTAATTTACAGAATCTTAAATTTCGAAAGAAAATATGAAACCTGAGAAAATGTAATATCTTAAGTTTTATTTGATTTTCAGGATATCTTATTTTTAAATTCAATCGTTTGATTAAGGGGATTCATATTTATTAAATAATGTATTTTGATTATCTCCTTGGTAATCTTATAAAAAACCTTTGATTTTGTTAAAAAAAAAAACGACAAATAATACATTCATCATCAAATGAACAAAGGATTTTGTTTATTTTTATTTTTATCATCAAATAAACATGACAAATGATACATTTATTATCAAATGATACCTTTTATCAAATTTTTATTTATATAAAATTATAAAATACTCAATTACAACATTTAATTAAAACAAATACCGTAATTGTTTGGATTTAAAAATTAAAAGTATTCAATTATAACATTTGATTAAAAGAAACGTCATAATTACTTGATATTTAAGAATTAAAAACACTTAATTACGGCATTTGGTTAAAAGAAATGCCGCAATTACTTGTATATAAACCAGATGATGAAAATTACAGCAGCTTTGCTGAATACCACGAAGCTTTGCTGAAAGTTGCCTTTCTCAATTGAGTTGGATATCCAACACTCACTTAATCGTGCCAAATGTTGTGTGATACTATACCTATTTACATTTATAAATAATGATTTATGTATTCATTTAAACAAAATATTCTGGCCTGGTTGCATAGAAGGCAACTAGCTTAGGAGGTGATACCATGAATATTTTCTCATCTTTAAGCCAAGACGTCTAGCACAACAAAGCCAAATGGCATGAGATGATCATAATGTGACAAAGCCATGCGATGGGTTCTCGTATCAATGTAACACTTGGCACACATTTCTCTGTTGCCATATTGCCCTCGTGGAACCCATTTGCATCTATCACAGCATGTGATGCATAGTTCTCAAGTTATAGAAACGTAAGGCTGTTAAGGCGTTTTAATGAAGAATTACGACGTTTCGTCGTTAAAACACCGTAACAGCTTTATTTCATATTTCAAATAAATGATAATTATGACGTATATTTAAAATAAATGTCATAATTATCAATTATAAAATATATGAGATAAAAAAAAGTTAATTATGATGCTTTATTCAAAAGAAATGTTATTATTGACTTACAATAAAATTTAATGTTAATTAAAAATTTATTTTTTTTAAATAACATAAATAAAATTTTTTTTATTTAGGTCAAATTTTATAATTAAATAATTTTTTGTTTAAAATATTAAAATATCATAAAAAGATAAATTTTTTATATTATTAAAATTTTAATTTTTTTTAATAATTAAATAATTTTGAATCAATCGTAAGATTAGATATCCACAATCAATAACTTAAAAAAAAAAAAAATTCTCTCTAATAAAATATACTCCAAAATTTCTTTCATCACTGTTGTTACATTTACATAAAAAATATCTACTTTATTAATAATTAATTTTTTTTATTATTATTATTTTTAATCTCATTAAAATTAATTACTATTGTTATCTAAATGGACGCTAAAATCAGTCACAATCCTAATAAGATGCGATTGCATATAAAAAATGAAAGAAAATTCCATATGGGTGTATCGGGCACGGCTAGATTCGATCATTTTAAGCTGGCTTTGGATTTATTCGCACTAAATGTTCAGTGCGATTAGCACCTTTTCGGTGCAATGGCACCGTGATTTGCTTTTAAGGTAGCAAACCCACAATTTGATTATGCTGACATGGCACTAGTGGATGACTGACTTTCCACTGTTGGGTAATAGGTGTAGTGAGCCACCGCATCATACTTTTGACATTTTTGGACATTTTTGTCTCTATTGATATTTTTTAAATACAATTTTATTCTTATATATAAAAATTAAATTATTTTTTTAATTTAAAAATAACATTTCTTTTTTATCATATTATTATTATTTTGTCCAAATTGTACCTTAATATTTTTCTTAAAATGTCCCTTAAAATTCTTAAACTCTAATATGAATAAATAATAATTATATTCATATAGAATTAGATAAATTAATAACACTTAATAAATAGAATTTATGTATAAATTAGTAATCAAATATATAGTATATAAAAAAATTGGGAGCTCAATACATATTTAAATTAAAAAAATCATTTGATATATTACTATTATTTTTTAATAATTTATTAAAAACTATTATTTGATATAAAAATATTTTAGTATTTTTTAATTACTCTAAAAAATGTCAAATAATCTAAAAAATTTTATATACAAAATTAATTTAATGTTCTTAATGATTAATTTTTTATTATATTTTATTTTATCATATTATTACATTTATATCAAAACATTTATATTATAACTAATTTTAATCTCATCATTATAATAATTAATTTTACTTTTAATATTATTTTAAATTTTGCTAAACCAATATCTCCGTTTATTTAAATATACCTTTAGTTTTTGACTATTTTTTGGCCTAGGGATTAAAGGCCCACTCACTTTTTTTTTGCTCCTTTTTTAGTTTTTAATTTATATTGTAATGATAAAAATATGATAATTATTTTATATTATATTATATTTTATTTTAAAATTATGAAATAATTTTATTAATTTAATTATATTTTAAATTATTTATTAATTTTATGAATATTAAATAATTTAAATTTTTTATTATATTTATTTTTTAATTTAATATTTTTAATAATTATTTTTTTCTCATCCTAATTTATTTTATTTTATCATTATTTTTTTATTTAAATACATATCTTATTATTAATTTTAATTTTATTATAATCACAATGAATTTTAATGATATAATATTAATTTTATTTTTATCATTATTTTTAATTTTATCATAATTAATTTCATTAAGCATTTTCATTAAGCATTCAAATAGATTCGCAGAAGAGCTTTGGTCACTTTACGCGTATAAAACACGCGTGGCCAAGCATCGCTTTCTCTCAAACCCATTATTTTTTTATTAAAAAAACAAAGGAAAAAGAAAGCAAGAAAGGAAGAAAAAGAAAAAGAATAAGGGAGACCCACAAATAACAAAAACACGCACATCCTCCGTCGTTTGAGGCTTTTTTTTGTTTTTCTTCGATTGGATCAAATCCACAATGCTAGAAAACAAAGCTTTTAGAGAGAGAAAATATGAAAATTTAGCAGTTTTTAGAGAGAGAGAGAGAATAGAATTATGATTTCTTAGCTATTCCTCCCCACCTTTTTTTTTTCCCTTCGATTAATCTAACCTAACCTTAGTTTTTTTTTTGTTTGTTAATTTTATATCTTTTCTGGTTTAAAACAAACACGGAACTCTAGATCTTTTTTATCTTTTGATTTTTCTGTCGATTTTTTTTTTATTTTTTTACGTGATAAAATATTTGGATGTCGGTGCTTTTTCGGTGCTTTGATTCGGTGTTTAGTTTCGCCATATAATTTCCTCGTTTTTTTATTTGGGGGGATTTTTCTAAATTAGGGTTTCAAAAAAAAATTTTTTTTTTACTTATTTGAAGTTGAATTGATGGAGCCTCGTGTCGGTAATAAATTTCGGCTTGGTCGTAAGATCGGTAGCGGCTCTTTTGGAGAGATCTATCTGGGTTCGTTACATATATATTTTTTTTCCTTTTGTTCTTTTTTGTTTGCGTGATTTTGAGTATAATTTAGTGGTTTTTATTTTCTTTGCAGGTACGAACATTCAGACAAACGAAGAGGTTGCGATTAAGCTTGTAAGTAGTCGTTGCTTAAAATTCACTTCCTATTTTTGTTGAATTTTGTATGAGTTTCTTGCTTTTGGTTGTTTGCTTGTTTCCAATTGTAGTTTGTTGCATGTTAACGTTCTATAAAATAGCAATGTAGTTGCTATTCTGATTAGGTTTTAATCAGAGCTCATGTTCATTAGATAACACAATCATTTATAACTTAGTGATGCAGTTGAATTATAGGATATATTGAAGCAAGAAAGTGTAGGAATCTGCTATTGTTTAGTTAGTTGGGTTCTAACCAATGTGCGTAGCAAGGAGAAAATTGGTTCCAATTTATAGGAACTGGTTCAAATGTACTATCTTGTATTAGTATATAATGTTCAGAGGAAGCGTGACAAGTGTACTGAATACTGATGTTTGGAACCACTTGACACTTTGGTTTATGCACTTGACCTGGTGTTAGTTTTTTATTTCTGTTTTTTGTTTGCATTAAATTAATGATAAACATAGTTAGCGGACTCCATCAAAGTAAAAAGGGAAAAGCATAGAAGCAAACTATTAATTAAGTTTTAACATGGTGGGATCATAATATCTTATCAAACGGAGGATCAAATTTGTTCATTAGTGATTTCTTATTATTCTCTAATGGTTGGCTCATAATGGACAAGAAGAATATTTTCTGGGTGGTTATCTGTGGCGATAAATAAGGTTAAATGGGGTGACTTCCTTTACCGTGTCAATGGCCAATTTACCATTATATATACATTATTCTATTTATTTTCTCCATATTTGGTGTGAATTCATTTGCTGTTAATCAATGATACTTATAAGATTTTAGGAGGGGGCGTTATCAGTTTGAATGACATAATTAATAAATTAATTTTCTGCTTGAATTATTGGTTTGATTCAGTTAGTCCAAAGTTTTTCGTTCTGTAATTGCTTTCTTATATTTAGTATTGATAGTGATTTCTCATGTGTTGCGGTTGTTTTAACTATAGTAAATTCTTTTTGGTACATAAAGAAGGTGATGATCTTGTTTTTTAATTATTTTTTATTGATCAGGAAAATGTGAAGACAAAGCATCCTCAGTTGTTATATGAATCAAAGTTATACAGGATCCTGCAAGGAGGAAGTAATGATAACTTTGATTTTTTTTTTGTGTGTTTCCAGAAAATAAAGTTCTAGTTCCAAACTGTGGCTGTTATTGAATTTCATATTTATTTATCATATTTTTTCTTACGACTGCAACTGTTGACTTTACCCATCTTGAACTTTTTCTTGGCAGCTGGGATTCCAAATGTGAGATGGTTTGGAGTTGAGGGAGACTATAATGTTCTGGTTATGGATTTGCTTGGACCTAGTCTTGAAGATCTATTTAATTTCTGCAGTAGGAAACTCTCATTGAAGTCAGTTCTCATGCTTGCAGATCAAATGGTAGTTTCATAGAATTCCATACATTCGCAACTTCAGTTACTCTTACTTAATGTCTTGTTACTTCATGCTATTTTGTTTTTTCTTGCCAGATCAACCGTGTCGAATTTGTTCATTCAAAATCGTTCCTACATCGAGATATTAAGCCGGATAATTTTCTTATGGGCTTGGGAAGGCGTGCAAATCAGGTTTGTGCTTTCTGGTCAAAATATTATAATGGTATATATCTTTGTTTTGTTATATGTTGGAGGAGATTTTAATGTGTTATTGCTTTTCATGTTCACATAGGTCTACGTTATTGACTTTGGTCTGGCTAAGAAATATAGAGACAGTTCCACCCATCAACACATTCCTTACAGGTGAGAGAACTTTGCATGCATTTGATCTATTGTATTTTACATTTAGTTTCAAAGGCCTGGATTTGTTTACATTCCCCCTCCCCTTTAAAATGGAAGGAAACTTTTTTTAATTCCCTTTCTTTGTTTCACATTTTCTTGATTGGTTTACTAATACGAATAGCGTCATTGGAGCTGATTCCACTATGAGATTCTCTTGATTGCACCTCTATTTTTCACTATGTGCTGAGGAATGTAGAGATGGTGCATCCTCTTTTAGAAGAGGCAACTTCTGATTGATTTCCATATTTCTTTTGTGATTATAATAGATCTTATGTGTAATCTACCATATATGTTTTGGCATTAAAATGCTTAGAGTTCGTACTTATGTCAAGGCATGAATGAACTAATATGATGCAGAAAAAATATGCTGTCATTTGGACATTTTAGAGAAGTTTTGCTGTTAAAAATAAAGTCATCAAGCTTGTACTTGAGGCTATATTACCTGAGAAGACATGTTTCCTTTTCCATTTTTGTTCTGCAATCTGCCTGAAAATTAATTGATACCTGTCTGGCACCCTGGACTATTTTGTCTTCTGAGTTATGAGGATTTTCCAATAAGGTTGGTTTTAGCATTTTAACATGTAGCTGTAATCTTTTAGTAGCATGTATTCATGAATTTCCAAGATAAAGCCCTGTGTGAAAAACTGTAATAAGGCTGGTTGAATTACTTGTGGATTTGGCAATAATGATGCGTCCAACTTCTTTGCCTTGCACTGGCACATCTATATTTCAATATTCTTTCGAGTGATTTTTTTGTTGAAAATTTGTGGTGAATGTGCCTAGCCATTTTTTTTGATCCTACCTGGTCCTGACTGTTTCAGGGAAAATAAGAATCTGACTGGAACTGCAAGATATGCAAGCATGAACACACACTTGGGCATTGGTATGTATGGTCAATGTTTGTTGCATCTTTTCTTTAATTTATGGACCTTTCTTTAAGTCTTTTTACTTTTGATTCTGTCCTTCCATATACCATGTAGAGCAAAGCCGTAGGGATGATTTAGAGTCTCTTGGATATGTGCTTATGTACTTCCTAAGAGGAAGGTGATTATTGCTACCTATGCTACTTTTTTTGTTTATTGTGTTTGCTTCCTTTATAATTTTCATTATTGATGCCTCTTCTCTTTACAGTCTTCCTTGGCAAGGTCTGAAAGCTGGAACTAAGAAACAGAAATACGAGAAAATTAGTGAGAAGAAGGTTTCTACTTCAATTGAGGTAAGGATGTCTTTAAAATTTACATCTTTCAGTTGCATTAGGTTTCTGTAAAGGGAATTTGAGGTAATAGAAAGAGGTGGATTTGTGGCTTAGAGGTTCTGGTTTTACATGCAAAATTGTGACTGAAGATGATGCTGTTTCAGGCCTTATGTCGAGGTTATCCAACAGAATTTGCATCATACTTCCATTATTGCCGTTCACTAAGATTTGATGATAAGCCAGACTATGCTTATCTCAAAAGAATCTTTCGTGACCTCTTTATTCGCGAAGGTTTGGATTTACATTTTTAGCAGTCCATGCTGTCAACTTATATTATCTCTACAGATCACAGTGACATTACATCTTCTCTTTGTTCTTGTTAATCCTTGCTGAACAGGCTTCCAATTTGACTATGTCTTTGATTGGACCATTTTGAAGTATCAGCAATCACAGCTGGTGACTCCTCCAACTCGAGCCCTTGTGAGTTTTTAGTAGGGTGTTTTACTTCTGTGAGTAATCAGTAAGGAATGCATCTTTTGTAATGCTTGTCTCTCTTAGGGTCCTAGTGCTGGAACAAGTTCTGCCATACCCCCTGCTATGGCCAATGCTGACAGACACACAGGTATTTGGTGCTCCTTTCATATAATTGATTGTCTCATAATTAGCACTACCGCTGATGTTTTGAATTATTTAGTATTCAACTTTTTGTGTCTACACCCACGCACATGTGTGTGCATGCGAACTTGCAATGTTATTCACTTACCCTTTTCCAATTTTTAAAAATTCTTTTTGATATTTAATAAGAACTGAAATACTTGCATTAGTATCAAATTTGTCTGTTCCGTTTCTTTCAAGTTGAAAAATCAAGTTATGCTTGGAATTATACCATTTGCATCTATTCATTGCAGCTGTAGAGGATGTGCGAGCAGCTGGCTTGTCTTCCATGGATTCCTCGCGGCGGAGAACATCAGGACCCTTGATGAATTCTGGAAATTATGCAAAGCAGAAGAGTCCTATTGCAAATGATCCTGCAATTACTAAAGAGGCTATGGTAATTTTTTTATTAGGTTTCATTGGTGCTGGTACATAGGGTGACCGATATCAACCTAAGTGCTTATAATTTTCCGTCAGTCCTCTGTCATCTGCAAGTCACCTCTTTAGTTAAATTAGGAGGCTTGGTATATTAGTTCATATAAGTATATATGTTCAAAAGTTGGATATCATATGTGCATCCGATTCCCTGTCCTATATTTTTAGCAACAGATATTGGATAGTTTTCAACTGCTTCTATGAAGTAGTCCTATTTCCCTTTAACCGTACCGTTGTATAGTTTATTGCATTCTTATCTTTTAGTGCTAATTTGGTTTTACTTGGACGAAGTTTATGGGGCAGTCAGGTGGATCCTCTTCAAGGCGAGTTGCTGTTTCTAGCAGTCGCGATGCCTTTGCTGGTAGTGAGGTTGATCCCCAACGTTCTCGTACAACTGATGCTAGCCCTGGAGCATTGCACAAAATTTCAAGTCGACAACGAAGTCCTGTTGATTCTGCTGACCCTAAGCGGATGATGTCCGGGAGAAATACCTCTCATGGCAAGAACTATGAAGCCGCCCTCAAGGGAATTGAGGGCCTGCAATTTGAAAGTGATGAGAGAATTCATTATTAAATGCTCAGTTATATGAGTTGTTGTAAACCATGCTATGGTTGATGTACTACTACATTTTGCAACAGATTGTGTATGTTTCCTTCTTGGGGGGTTGAGTTTTAAGGAATTTGTTACTTGGAGCTCCTGATTGGGAATCTCGTGCACCCAAAGCTTAAATTCTTCGCAGATGGAAAAGAGCTTATGAAGAGAAATTTGACTGCATCAAAGTTGTTGCCTGTGAAGCCAATAAGTGTGGTATGGCTATTTTCCTAACAGTTATAATAACTCCCTGTTTTTTGTGGTGTCCCTTTCATCTTAATATTATGCCTTCTCTGTCATCTGAGAATTCTTGAAGTTTCAAACTTTCATAGCATTGTAAATTGTTTCTTGTACTTATGTCACTCGTGTTCTTACGTTTTTGTTTCTTTTTGTACGACTGCTCGGAAGGCAAATTTATAGATTTTTTTTTCCTTAATGGTGGAGAAACATACATATAAAGGGAAACTAGGATTCAATCAGGACATAATAAGCAAGATTTTATTCTTGTGGATTAAAGGGAACTTAAGAGTAGGAAATGGACATGAATCCTGGTCTCGATTCTGTTCAGTTCCATGTGGATTTTTCCTTTACCTCTGACGCTGGATATATTTTCTTCGTGAATCAAGATAGTAATTGTAACAAAACATCCTGTTACGTCCAAGTTAAATGTCTTTCAAAAAACCTATTTCCAAAGGAAACTTGGCTTGAAATAAGACGTGGTCAATATCTGGGTGGAGCCGGGAACTGAAATTATACAAAGCGATCCCAAAACAGTCTCGGCTGCCCTGAATTTCTACGGATTGAGTTCAATTAATTATCCATCAGGAAATCTCCATTTTATACAACTACTCTTTAACCTGTAATAGCATCGATGTTTCAAATTGTCAAATATATACTATATGCCTTCGGAATTTAGATGACTGCTTACATTTTGAGAAGAGCCTCAAATTACATACCGTTGAAATTCTCTACATATACCCAAGTATACAAATGCAAAATAAAACTATTATTAATTCAACAGGGGCAGGACAGGACCTTTCTCTTTTTGGGAGAGTTCGTACATCTTTGATCTTTTTACCCATAAAATTCATTCAAACGGTAGACAAATTGAACTACCGACTATAAATTTACCACCACCCATAAACTACCCTTGGGCCACCTAAAACTCTTCTTGAAAGACCTTCACTTTCCCTTCAACTGTGTAAACCTTATAGCTATCTATCCTCTGCAACTAGCTATCATTTAAACTCCAGCTCTTCGAAGAATACGCATTTGATCATGGGTGTAATAAAAGTCCAATCACTTATTCACATGTTTAATTAAACTTTTATTTATGCTAAATATTATAAGAATTTGATGTTAGATTATTGAAACTAAAGTTCAATACTTGAGGTAATACACTGCAGCAACAGGATCAAGTTCCACCAGGCAGGCACCGGGTTGTTATAATAACTAGTTTAATCTGCTTTCCCTTTGCGATTCATCAAATCGTGGTAGCATAAAAGCACGCACATTGGCTGACCAAGAATATGCAGAAAATGATCCAGAAAATCATATTGCCCACCTGAAATTGAAAAGAAAAAAAAATATGAGTGATCATATGACAATAGACAAGCATTAGCATACCGCAAAAGCCGGGACAGAGACAGTGTTACCATTACCTCATATCATTAGGCAATACAAATAAAGAGCATACCATCGAGCTTCTAAACTTGTTTTGCAGAGAATTTGTGACCAAGACCAAGGGAACCTGACAAGAATTTTGGAAGAAAAGGAGAACAGATAAATTCATGAATCTCATGTCTGATATCAGTTCTTGTTCTACTAGTACTGGTGCATATTACATAAAAGTGCCAAGTGATTATTGATCCTCATTTTGCTATATTAATGTACCAGGAACAGAAATGTGCTTACCTGAAACATGATGCCAATAAAAAACCCATAACTTAAATTCGTGGCAAGCAACAGCAATACAGAGCTGTACTAGAGTAAACAGAATTATGAAACAATAGAAGCAAAATCAATGTGGCAAAATATATTTATAGGATGATGAAGGAATTTGGAAAAAAAAAAAAAAAAGCATGCCATGATCATGATGACTCCAACGACGACGTTCCCTTGTACGCAAAAGCAGCCCAGTAGCCCAAGATTTATTTGGGTTTGGGCTCAATTGGAGTTGAAACGCTGCCGTTTAGTTGGTTAACAAAAAATTCAACTGTTTTCTTCAGTCACTGTTACAACCGAAGTGAGTGTCGGCATCTCCAAAGCCGCTCTGTTGAAGAAAACCCTATAAAGGTTCTCCCTTTGCCTAATAAAATCCAAACAAGAACTAAACTTTCTATTGCTTTGGGCTTTGGAGATCTGATTTTGGATTTCCCATCTCAAAGTCTGCCTCCAAAATCTCTCAACATTCCCCAAATTCAAAATCTGCTAAAGTTTTGTCCTTTGAAATCGAGTAAGTTACTTATTTCTCATAATCTTTTAAACTTAATCTCGCTGATCTATTAACTCATTATATCATCTTTCAATATTTTTGATGTCTTTTTGGGAAAAAAAACAGTTTTTTTCAATTGATTCAGGTATATTTTGAGAAAATAGTCGAGATATTCAAATAATCTTCTGGGTGTATGATATTAATTGATTGCCTGAAATGAGTGACAATAATTAACCTCCTGGCTCACCCAAAGAAAACCCAGATCAGAATTCTAAAGCAAACCCTTTGCCTAAAGATGGTAGCTCACTCGAAACCGCAGTTCGAAGATTTCAGGATTCAATGTCCTTAGCAAAGAGACACAAGTTTTGGGAAACTCAGCCTGTTGGTCAATTTAGGGATGTTGGGGACACAAGTTTGCCCGAGGGCCCAATCGAGCCCCCGACCCCATTGTCTGAAGTCAAACAGGAACCTTATAACCTTCCCAGTGCGTATGAATGGATCACATGTGATATGGATACGGAAGAGACATGTACCGAGGTACAATCTTTTGAAGAACAATTATGTCGGGGATGATGAGAATATGTTTAGGTTCAATTATTCCAAGGAGTTTCTTAGGTGGGCATTGCGCCCTCCTGGATATTACAAGAGCTGGCATATTGGGGTCCGTGCTAAGGCTTCGAAGAAGCTTGTTGCTTTCATTACTGGTGTTCCTGCGAGAATAAGGGTGCGTGATGAAGTTGTGAAGATGGCAGAGATCAATTCTTGTGCGTTCATAAGAAGCTGAGATCAAAGAGACTTGCTCCCGTGATGATTAAGGAGGTTCTAGGAGAGTTCATTTGGAGAATATTTGGCAGGCAGCTTATACAGCTGGAATTGTTCTTCCAACACCAATTACTGGTTGCCAGTATTGGCATAGGTCATTGAACCCCAAGAAGCTTATTGATGTTGGCTTTTCTAGGCTTGGAGCTAGGATGACAATGAGCCGAACCATTAAACTCTACAAATTACCTTTTTCTCCCGCGACCCCTGGATTCAGGAAGATGGGACTTCATGATGTCCCTGCTGTTACTGGGTTGCTTAGAAACTACTTGAGCCAGTTTGTTGTTTCTCCAGATTTTGATGAGAATGATGTGGAGCACTGGCTTCTTCCTACTGAGAATGTCGTGACACAGTTACTTGGTTGAGAGCCCAGAGACGCTTGAATAACTGACTTCTGCAGTTTCTACACACTACCCTCATCAATTCTTGGCAACCAGAACTATTCAGCAAAAGGATTTTGACGTTTTCAACGCACTGGACGTCTTGCAAAATGAGTCTTTTCTTAAAGAATTGAAATTTGGACCAGGTGATGGACAACTTTACTACCAGTATAATTATCGGATACGAAATACCTTGAGACCATCGGAGCTTGGTCTTGTACTCTTATAGGTTGCTATGTTTCAGCTTTGGTCCAGCAGTTTTGTTTCGAAATTAGGTTTGGATTGTATCCAAGGATCCGGATTGGAGTGCACCCAACAGCGGCCTCTATTGTGTTCCCGAGCTTTAATTTTTTAGGCAAATATACTATTGATGACGACAATGCATATTGTTATATGGACGCCAATAATGTTCCAGATTTTGCATGTGGCTTATTTCTCAGTCTTTATAATGCTCTTGCAGTTTTTCATTTCTTTTTCTGCTTATTGTCTTTGTTTCTCACTTGATTAATTCCATTAAAGATTTAGCAACTATCCAGTCACTATAAAAAATTTATATAAGAATATACCACTTATAAGTGTAAATTTTATATAATTTTAAATTGTAATTAATGAATTGTAATTCAATGATCAATGATCACAAGTAATATACATTCTTCTTTCTCGCATGCAAAAACCATTAATCATTAGTTTTTCGTACACGTATTATCGATTAGAATTCAAGTATAAAGGTTTATGGTCTCTTATCTTTTGTCCTCTCCAAAGGGAAACTGTGGATAACTCACAGAAATGGGAAATGGGCCTTTCAGTTTTTGCTTGAAGGAATGGAGAGCGAATATTGAAGTTTCTGCTGCACTAACAAGTAGCAACAATATTCAAAATTAGTCAAGTCACATCCCAAGAGAAAGAAGAGAAAACACAATCAACAATATGTACATATTCTAATTCAAGGGGTCATCTCTTTTAAGTTAATCCACATATCCTATGCGATAACCAGAATTTCACCTCGAGAACCTGAAATAAATGACAAATGCGGATTTCGTAAGAAAGGCAACATAATGCCGAATAAAGGAAAAATATGAGCTCTAAATATGATGCATATTACATGTTTCAAAAATCTCTTCGGCCAACCGTAGCAGTGAATCCATATCTTCAGCCATTTTAGAGACTCTTTCTGCCTCTTTAACTGCTTCAGCTGCAACAAATGACTTATTTTCTGCTTCAGCAATCAGATAGGCAGCAGTTACTGAAGCATCTTCAACTGCATCACACGTTATACGACCACTGTTATGCGAATGCTTAAGCCGCATGCCTTTCTGTTTTGGAGTTGGTGTCTTCGTCCCAAATGTCTCATCTTTTCTAATCTTGTAGCGATTGTGCACCTGCATTTTTATGACAGATAAAGCAAAACAATTTTCAAATTTCAGATCTTCTTCTCAAATGAAAAGTGGATGAGTCCATGCTTTTTCAAAGTAAAGGTTCATAATTAAAATGTCTAACATGGCCAGAAATCACAAAAGGCAAGGAAATTTGTAATAAAACCAAAGAAACCCAATATTAGTTGAACTATTAACTCTTTATTTAAGTAACGTTTATTCTATCTTGAATTAAATATAACTCGGTAAAGAAAAGAAAACTGGTTATGCAGTTGTTTCCATCTGTTAGCACAAGAGACCGTCGCTTTTACCTTAGTGTCTTTTTGCTTATGACGGTTGCCAAAAGATTGATATTCACTTTGACTCCCATGATCTATTGTTCTTAAGTTCCTTGAAGTGGGGAAAATTTTGAATAAGAAGCATACTATATTGTAGGTATCCCTAAGTTCCTATCCATTTCTCCAGAGAATGATATGTTGAATACAGGGTAGTAGTGATCACACCTATATGTGGCTGGAATATTTATCAAATATAAAATTTTGCGTTATAAGGCAACAAAGATATTCAGGAAAAGTTCTAAGCCGTCATACTTTGTTAAATGAATCATCTATAAGTCCATCAGAAGCTGATTTACTTGAAAGGTGTTGATTGGTGGTAACACTAATAAAAAAATCACATTTACGAAGGATAAGTGTTTTTATGATTTTAAAGAAGTTGTATCAGCAATTTGAGACCAGTTATATTTTCCTTCTATAGTTTTATTCCACTGAAGTTAAAGGAAAACATATAAAAGGCAATTTCAGCTCTTCTTCACAACTCATATCAGAAAATCATTTTAATCTCTAAATAGAAGTGCCAGGCTCATTGTGCAGCAAAGAAGCCCAAAGTCAGCTCCATAATTTGTCTCCCTTTAAATAGTACCTATACTAATCCTATATGAAGAACAATAATTTTATTGATAGTAGTCTAAATAACTTTAAAGTAAACATTTCAAAAAATAGTAGTAACTTTTATTTTCTTGGCCAAGCAAAAACTAGTAAATGTCAATGGATAAAATGAAGGATCACCTTTTCTAGTTTTCCTACTGCGACCAGCCTTTTCAACCTTGAACATAACTGCTTCTTAAAACTTTGAGATACCTCTTGCCTTTGCTGCATAATTTATTATTGAAAGAACGCACTCATGATTTTGATGATGTAAGCAAATAACCAATGAAAAATAAGTTACAATGCTAAGATACAGAGACCTCAAAATGGTAAAGGAGCAGCAATTCTGAATACCATATCTAAATATTCAAGGTCAAACATCATTTGGTATTTCTGTGCGTCTTAAATGAAGAATTGTAAAAGAAAAGGAAACAAATGGAGATACATGGAAGCCGTAGCTAGTTTTAGAAAATTTCAGGTTTGAAAAGCCTTTGGCAGCAAGCCTAGCATGCGCAGCACGACCTTAGGCCCAGACATAGTTTCCATAGAGGGAAAACTCCTCTACACGCACGCACCACAGATATCCACATGCATGGTCTTCTAGATGCAGCTCTTTCTCAAATTCAGTCTTAGCATCAATAGTTAGATGTATGGTTTATTCAAAAACCAGTTCAACCACTATCATGATTAGAGACAATATCTCAAAACCAATCTGGACATATACAGGAAGCAGCAGCAAAAAAGACTTCAAGTCTACATATTCTTTTGGAAATGTTTCCTACTAACCAAACAGGTACTTTTCTCCAAAGAAATATAGATAAGCGTTCATGAAATGATGACGAAAAGAAAATTACATACTACCTCAATGTAGCTCACAATTGCTCCGTTATCTGATCCGTTTGGCTCTTTCAACGCTGATACAGCTTCGATAATCATTTCATTGTACCGGCTACATTTATGCAACAATGTCAAACATCACAGTACAAAAATGCTTATCACAAAGAAATTTGGGGAAGGGTGAAGAAGTAATTTACTGGCAAATAGAGGAGGTAAAATTTGCTTACTTTGGAGCAAAGCTTTTTGATGAATCATCAGTGACTGGTTTGGGTAATGCAATTCGCTTAACAGGAGCAGAGCTCTGCGGAGTTGAACCGTCGGAGCTTACTTTGGGCTTGGGCGTCCTTGATTTTTCCCGGGGACCATGGCCGCCGGGACCGCCACTCAAATTTCGCCACTTGTCCTGTTTGAAACAGAGAAAAATTAGAGAAAGAAAATAGTAAAAAAAATAAAAAAAGATGGGGGAGGGGGTAAACCTTGAGATCAATGTTGGAGCGAGCGGAGAGGAAGGGGCTTAACTCAGGGTCTCTTTGGATTGATTTCCAATTCCCTTTGCCGTATTTGGCTACTCCCGCTCTCAATGCTTCTTCTTCTTCCGCTATCCACTTCTGTTTCGGGTTCCCCATCTCTCTGTCGCCCCCTCAAAGATGATGCCCAACCCCCTGTATGCTCCCACTAGCAGCCACCACTGCCGCCAGCGCTACTCTTTGCTGCTGTGGTTTTTTTTTTTTTTTCAGCTCCGAAAATCCTTCGAATGTTCAGGTCACGTGGCCGTCGACGGACACGTTATTTGCCTTTGTTTGTTGCACACTACGACATCGTTTTAATTTTGCGTCTTGTGAGAGCAGTTGTCCACCTGGAATTAAAACAGGATTACAAGTTTTTTTTTTCTCATTTTGCTCATTAAATATAATTTATTATTGAATAAACAAACTATTTAATATTTTCACTAAAATTTGTCAACAAATTAAAAAAATGATCACATATATTATTATACATATATTTTAAAAGTTAAATAAATTAATATAATAAAAATACATAATAATATTTTAATTCCATTAAATTATGTGAGATATAATATTAATCTTTAAGATCATGACTAACGAGATATCGAGATTTTTAGATTAACACGTAATATGACGTCGTTTAAACTTAGCGGTTGCGATAGGGGTTAGCTTAGTGCAGAGAGTTGACAAATCCATAGCATCCACGTGGCAAAATATGACAGTTGAACATTTAAGCAGATTAAATGACACCAGACAAACTCTTTTCCTATCCCCTGAGCTTCCTTTAAGTCTTTGCCCAGCTCTCGGTTTATCAAAGTAGAGGAAAGGAAGGAAAGAAAAGAAAGAGAAAAAAAAAAAGGCACTTTCTTCTCAAAATCTGCACTTTGTTGCGTTTAGAAACGGCAATGGCTTGAAGAAAGGAGAGTTTTTTTTACATGCCTTTGTTTCTCTGTTTTTGTTACTTTTAAAGGTGATGGTAATGGAGTGTGTTGGAAGTCGGAACTTTGCGGCAATGGCGGTTTCTACATGCGCCACGTGGAGGTCTCGGAGGAGAAATCTGATGAGGACGAAAACCGCGTTGCGGAGTCATCATCGGTTTATCTCGTTTAAGGTGAGAGCTAGTGGAGCAGGGAGCGAGAGTTGCGTGGCGGTTAAGGAAGATTTCGCTGACGAAGAAGATTACATAAAAGCCGGTGGCTCTGAACTTCTCTTCGTTCAAATGCAACAGAACAAGGAAATGGATAAACAGTCAAAATTAGCGGATAAGGTTTTTTCTTTTTCCCTTTTTTAAGATTTCGATTTTCATTTGTTGAAAAAAAAAAAAAGAAAAAAAAGGGGATATGGAGGCCCTACCGGTGGATAAAGCTGTGCCCTTTGAGCCACTAGAAATTACGGCCTTGTTTGGATTGTGTTTTTAATTGGCGACATGGAGATTGTGAAATAGTACTAGTAAATGAAATGCTTACGAACATTATGACATGTGAAAGTCACGTGCGTTTGGTTATTACTAAGTTTGCCTTTGCCTTCAATTTTGGTGGGAACTAAGAACTGAATGTTTGCTTTCTATTAGTGGGTTTACTGTTTTGTTTGAATATCCTTTTGAGTTCCTTTCTGGTAACACGTATTTTTTCGCAGTTACCGCCGATATCAATCGGGGATAACGTACTGGACCTGGTGGTTATTGGTTGTGGTCCAGCTGGCCTTGCTCTTGCTGCAGAGTCAGCTAAGTTGGGTTTAAATGTTGGACTCATTGGCCCTGATCTTCCTTTCACCAATAATTATGGAGTCTGGGAGGATGAGTTTAAAGGTATTAGTTCAATTTTTTTTTAAAAAATTCAAGCAAGTATTCATCATTTCTACAATGTGATTTATTTATCCATAATTTCTTATGAAAATTTTTAACTTGTATGCACTTTATGCGCTTGATGTTCATAACAATCACATAAACATGTAAATTAATCTAATGTCATTTCCAGATCTTGGACTAGAAAGGTGTATTGAGCATGTTTGGCAGGATACAATAGTATACCTTGATGATGATAAGCCCATTATGATTGGTCGTGCTTATGGGCGCGTTAGTCGACACTTGCTTCATGAGGAGTTGTTGAGGAGGTAGTCATAGTTCCTTGCCAATGATGTTTATGGCCATTTTTCTCAACGTCATTGTTTCTTCTGGATATCCTACCATCAATATTTAATTCCTATTGATTTCCCTAGGTGTGTTGAGTCAGGTGTAGTGTATCTCAGCTCAAAGGTTGAAACGATCATTGAAGGTACAGATGGCCATAGTCTTGTAGCCTGTGAAGACAATCGTGTCGTTCCTTGCAGGTAGGCTAATTTCTTTTTCCCCTACTGCCATTCCTAAATTTTGACCTTTTAGTATCACAGCTCTTTTCAAGCTCCTAATGTATTATTATAGGCTTGTTACTGTTGCTTCAGGAGCAGCTTCAGGTAAACTGTTGCAATATGAGGTAGGGGGTCCAAGGGTCTCTGTGCAAACAGCTTATGGTGTTGAGGTTGAGGTAGGAATGTATGATATGCGTGCCAGTATGCTACTTCAATTACAAATTTATTATACAGCTTCTAGTGTTGACTGTTGTCTGTATCAGTTATCGTTGCTCTATTGCAGCATGGCCTTCTCCTGCCGAATTGATTTGTACCAACTCTGTTTGGTACTTTTTTATCATGGCTTTTCTGTTCTTATTATAAGGGTGAAGCAATGGATTTTCAAATTTTGACTATCAGAAACAAAAAAAGTAGAAAGGCGAACACTTTCTTTTTCCTTCATCAATTATATAGGATGTTTATGCTCTCTCTCTCTCATTTTTTTTCAATGGGGGAGGGGGGAGGATGTGGAGGGGGTAAGTTTATACTCCAAAAAATTACCCTTTATGAGGTTGGATGGAGGAAAAAATTTTCTGAACTTGTTTGACGGTTGTTATAACTCTACTAGTTTTTTTTTTATTATGCCAGGTGGAGAACAATCCTTATGACCCAAGCCTGATGGTTTTCATGGATTACAGAGACTATGCTAAACAAGAATTTCCATGTTTAGAAGCTCAATATCCAACATTTCTTTATGCCATGCCAGTGTCATCAACAAGAGTTTTCTTTGAGGTTTGTGCCATGCAATTAATTTTGTTTATTGTTCAAGTTGTATGTCATGATTTCATGCAAATGATTTTGAAAGTTGCACTGCAGGAAACTTGTTTGGCTTCAAAAGATGCCATGCCTTTTGATTTGTTAAAGAAGAAGCTCGTGTCAAGGCTAGAGACCATGGGAATCCAGATTTCAAAAGTTTATGAAGAGGTAATCTGTGTAACCAAATTAAGATATTAGATCAATGGAATGTTCAACACATTCCATTACAATGGATAAGTAATACTATTTTTTATTGTTACTTAGCACCAAAACAGGGCTTCATGTCAATCAGCTCCTTGCCATTTTATAAACTAATGACAGTTGCCTTGTTCATTGATTGGATGAATTTATTTAATATCAATACTGCCATCTTTCAGCTTCCCAATAAACGTTTACATGGATATCAGGCCTTTTAGCCTTCCAGCATGATATTTGTTGTGTTTATTTTATTATTAATTTCCTTTTTTATTTTTAAATGGGTTTATAAAGTGAAACTTGTTTGAATTCTCCCAACATATATATTTTTTTGGTTTCACAATCAAATGACACCTTCTCTCCATGAGTTATGTTTTTTATTATTTCCTGATATATGATTATTTATTATTTGAGGGACAGCACCTTAAATTCATGGTTTCAGCTTCCTATTATAATAGTATAAAATCTCATATAACAGCTTAATACAACAGCACATCAAATTCAGAATTCAACTTTCTATCATCGTAGCATATAGTTTGCAATTGAGTTGGCTTTTGTTCATAATTGTGGTCAATGATGGAGTGCAAAGTCTAGTGGTTTAAATCCTAGCTCACAAAGAACTAATTCCTGTCTATGTTTTCACTTCTTAATGAGTAGATCTCATTTCATCCTGACATTTCCATGTTCCAATGTAATTCCAAATTTTGTTAGCAAGATGCTTTTTTCTTGGATTGTAAATATTAGTTCCAAAACCTTTTAATCTTATGCAGGAATGGTCTTATATTCCAGTTGGTGGTTCCTTACCAAACACAGAGCAGAAGAACCTTGCATTTGGTGCTGCTGCAAGCATGGTGCATCCAGCTACTGGTAAGAATTGGGCTAATAGATGTTTCCTTCAGTAATTTAAACTTGATATTGCCTGTCTAATCCTTTTTTAAACAGGTTATTCGGTTGTGAGATCATTGTCAGAAGCTCCAAATTATGCTTCTGTAATTGCAAATATCCTGAAGAAGGATCATTCCAAGGGCATGCTTAACAGTGTAAGAAATAATGGGAATATCTCAATGCAAGGTATGCTGTGTGATTTATCCTCTGAACGCTTTTTCAATGGTTAGTAACTAAGATCTTTCATCTTAAGCAAGACCATAGTAATAGCAATCAAAATTTAGTTTTTCATACAGATGATATGCTGCATATGGATGTATGCCTATGATTATATATGTGTACTAGATATTTGAATGGTTTTATTCTAGAGTATTATGCATTATTCTGGTTTACAAACATTATTAATTTTTCTTTGTAAATATTATTGTCAATTGTCATCCTTGATAAATGTTGCCTTTGTGATGTATTGTTTGTCTCTTGCTTGGTTGCATGTTTCTATTTGCTTAATTGTCCTTGAGGGTACTTGCATATTCATTTTGTGATGTGATGCTATGGTGCTCTATGTAATGTTTTAACTTTTAAGAACCCAATGTATGATATCACCTTCTGATGATGTGTTATTCTAATTGGATTCAGCTTGGAATACTCTTTGGCCACAAGAAAGGAAACGGCAGAGGTCATTCTTTCTCTTTGGGCTAGCTCTCATATTGCAATTGGATATTGAAGGCATTAGAACATTCTTCCACACATTCTTCCGATTGCCAAGTTGGTATGATTTAACCATTCCACATTTATTTATGTTGGTGCTTATTTATGAAGAAAACCACCCAAATCTTCTGTTTTTAAACTTGAAACAGAGAAACATAACTCCATTCGTGAATAAACAGAAAAAAACAAACAAATGCTTGAGTAGCCCGAGTTGCTTCAGCTTAAAATTTTAATTTTATAATAATTAATGGATATATTTTATTGCAGGATGTGGCAAGGATTTCTTGGTTCTACTCTTTCTTCTGCTGATCTCGTTCTGTTTGCCTTCTATATGTTTGTTTTAGCACCAAACGATATGAGAATGTGCCTTGTCAGGCACCTATTGTCAGATCCAACTGGAGCAACTATGATAAGAACATATCTCACAATCTAGATGGTATCTTTCGTATTTCTTCCCTTGTTTGATTCCATTTTAAATTGCCATTCAAGCAAATATTATGAGGAGCCTACCCACCTTGAAAATAACTAGGCATTTGTATATTCATACATTTGCATGTAATATATCTTCTTTTGTTAAAAACAGTGGATAGCATTTTTGTAATATCTAAGTGAAAATATATTAATGTTATGTACTTTTTTCTTGACCTAATAAACTTGAGTTGCAATTTCAATTTTCTTGTTCCCATCATTCTGCGACAAACCTTTGACAGATCTAAAATGATGAAATGGCAGTTTATGCTTTTGGATGTTGGATCGCTCCAAGGAATATGAATGTATTACAAGGAATCTCCAGAGATGATGGCTGGTGTGTAGGTGGCCAAATGCTGGTCTATACTGCATCCTTCAAGGTGACATTCTGTCCTGTCAGAATGGCAGAAAATGAAAAATAAAATAAAATAAAAACTTGAGCCTCTTTTGTACCCCTAAGACATCTGCTAATTCCACAGAAGCCCACAGTAATCCCAGGCCACAGGGTCTAATCCATAAATATTCTAGACTTAGAGGAGTTGTTCCCCTTCCACTCAAGTTAGTGATGAGTGGTGACATTTAATTTATTTATTAGCTTTTTAGTCCACAACTCCCGAGAATCTCGCAAGCTTTTCTTCATGCTTTTCAGCATTTGAATTAACTTAATCCATTATATGAACACCTTTCATGGGCATCGTGACTAGGCAGCAAGACAAACATTAACAATCAACTCAAAAGTCAAAGCAGGAAATAAATATAGAAAGAAATGCTTGAGATAATTGGAACAAGCAAATTAAAACTGTTCTTGTCACGAATCCTAGTTGGGTATTTGTTCTCATTAGCAACTAAACATGGGTTTTTCTTTTTTTTTTTTTAATACAAAAATAATTCTTGGCTCCTTTCCTTTACATTGTGATTTAGGCCCCATTGAGCACTCTCCCTTCCCAGTACCGTTCTGAATTTCTAATTCATCCGTCACTGGACAAATGGTATTTTTCCAAATTTGTGGGGATATTATGTCCCCAAAGGACAAAGTTTACCACTCATGGATATGGCTCAAAGTCCACAAGCACTCTTTCCCTTCTGGAATCAGAGATGTCCTCCTTGAGCCAAGGACCCATGGTTAGTTAATAGTTAAGACACAGCAGTTTGCTGCTGGAGCCTGGAAAGGCAGCCATAGATTTCATTTAAGCAAGATTACATTCAAATCATCGAATGCTACTTAAGTTCCAGCCTTCACTTTGTTAACCTCACATCAGTATTTAGGACATCAGAATCTACTATATGTTTGGGAATTGTGTTGAAAAGAAATCTAGTCTGCTTTCTCGATATAACCATCACTCTGCATATATCAGAAATGGTAAAGACTTTCTAATCACTAACTACCAATGTCAGTAAGATTAAGATCACATCGAAGAGACAGTTCTGACAGCATCAAACACTAAAAAAAAGTGGCATCCTTCCCACTGATCAAGATTGTGTTGGGCATTGTCATTAGGAGCAAATATGAGATTCTAGCATGTTTGAAAAATGCTTTATCTTTAGCTAATAGGAATGAATAAAAGTTTAACTTAGACGATTCATACGACCACATAACATCCATTAAATCTGAAGTTTAAATCTCCAACACTTCAATATCTTTCTCTATTCTAACACGATTATAAAAAAAAATAAATAGCATGAATGGCACTTGAAAGAGAATGTAATAAAGGCTTGATATCACTTGGCATGATTACCAAATTCAATGGTTCTTAGGACCCAGAATTTTGTTTAATTAACATAAAGCATATATACTTTATGCTACTTTTATGCATTATAAATCATGGGTAAGCTTAAATTAGTGTATATTATTTGAGTACTTGGATTTTGGCAAGCTCACATTGGTTGATCCCTTTGTAGAGGGATATGAAAACTTTTTATTTTCCCATTATTCTTCTTCAACTTCTTTATACTCAATAAAGACAGCCATTACTCAAACCATATTCCTTAATATGTGGTTTTAACAAATGATCAACGATTATAAAAACCCATGTCTAAATTTTTATTGATTAATTTGATTTAATAAAATGATATTTTGATTGACTTTAAGGTGTCCAATTATCATTCAAAATCTTCTCAATTCGTTATCATTCAAAATTGTATTAAATTTGAAAGCAATAAGTTGATTAATTAACAAAAAGAAGAAGAATATTATCATTGATCACATTTACACCAAGATAATTAATAATAAGTTGAGGAGATAGTGCACTAAATTGTGCTTGAATTGGGATACATATCTCCAAAAAATAAAAAAAATTCACAACTCAAATCCAAATTCATATAATTATTTTAAAAAATGATATTTAATAAATTTAAAATTTAAATCTCCATCCCTTAAGACCAATAAGAGGTAATACAAGAATATTTACATGCTGTCCATCAACTATGCCTTTCTCAAGCCAACATTTTCGCTTTCACTTCGTCTACTCCTGTTCATGCGGGTGCTTCTCTATAAAGTGGAATACTCCCTTATTAATGTATAAAAACCTATAACTTTTTTTTATTATTATTTTCAAGTTTTTTGAAAAAAAAATTACCGTAATAACCTGCCACATGGAATAATTGTACTACCTGAAACAGATAAAAAAATAAAGTTGTACAGTATGTTGTATAAAATCAAAAGTATGCAGACATATGCAAAAGTTAAAATTTGTATAATTATTATCATGTTTAATTTCAGCCCTAAAATTAGAATTTAGTCGATTTGCAAGTGATACTACTAATAAAATGACTAGCTCGGCCTCTGCCGCCCCGCATGCTTGCCAATGGCCTTTGGCTTTCGCCTGTTCATTGAAAAAGTTCGAGTGCCTTTTCTTTTCTATTCTATAAAGTTTCCAGATGGCATTCAAAGTATTAATATTCTTTGTTGGCACCATGTAAAACCCTAAACCATAGAAACTAAGAAAAAGAGAACAAAGACAAATGAAAAAACAAATAAAAATTTCTGGAAAGGATTTTTCTTTGTTCATAGATTCAACAAGCAAGAGACTTGTGATGTCATCAGCATCAGTTCTTCAGTTTTTCACCTTCTATAAAAGGCCTATAGCCTCTCATCATTTCTCCACTCAAAGAAACAAAGATTTCTTTGCTTGTGCAATACTAAATTAGAGCTTTAGGATGAAGCAAGATCTTTGTAACTGGTCGTTTTGATCTAGATCAGCTTGTCGTGTTGGAAATTGTTTATGAAGGTAATTTGACAGGAAGGTGACAGAAGAGAGTGAGCACACAGGGTTCCTTCTTGCATAACATGCCCATGCTTGAGACTTTATGTGCTTACTCTCTTTCTGTCGCCCACCTCTTTCTCTCCAGTTATTAATTTTAAGTGCATCAACTTGTTGATTAATTTCTATTTATAAAGATTTTTTTTGGAAAGATAATTTTTTTCCTGAAATTAAGATTCTTGCAGCATAAAAAACAGTAATTCTTTGGTTCAGAAACATTCATGTGTCAATGGTAGATAGATAACTTGTGCCTTCATTTTCATGGTTCCTGACTATTATCAAATTAAATCTTTCATTTTTTTATAAATGTTTAGATAATAGTATAACCAGTTTCATGGTTCAGCAAAGCTTCTTGGTATATATCCAATCAGAACGAGGCAACGTAGACACTTCTGATAAGCTTGATACCCTTAGTATATACCTCCATGAAGGCACACACTCTCTACACTATTATTTTTCCTTTTCTCGATACTTTATTTCTCTATTCATTTGCGAAATATTAACTTGATCATTGGAACACGTCTAGAATACCAAATCTAACATTCATCGAGTCTGTTTTGCATGTTTCTCGGCCGAACAACACCATATATTATTAAAATAAATTTTAAATACTCAAATTCAATAAAAAATTTGATTTTTTATCCGAATGAAGATGATGATGAGTATTATATTGTGAAGATGATAGTTAAGATAAATATGATCTTAAATTTTTTACTAAATATGAAGATAGAGACGAATAATATAATAATGTATTCATACTCTAAATTTATATATATATATATTTAGTAAATAAAATTTTTTATTAGATAATATAAACTATTATTTTAAATTAATTAAAATTAATATATTTCTATTTAAAATAAATGTTATTATATTTATAAAAAAATTAAAAAAATAAACAAGATAAAATTTTTTAAAATATAGTAAAATATATATTTTTTATTTTTATTTTTTATAAAATGTTATGGGTACGGGATTATCAATACCTCTTAAATACCTACGAAAATGAAAATAAATTTAAAATATTCATTAAATAAGGGTACAAAAATAGATATACCATAAAAATTCAAGAATGAAAATGAAAAATATTCTACCTTTCCCATATCTTATACATTAACATTCCTAATATTAATCTCAACAACACTAATTCCCTATTTCTACATTAAGTGGAGAATTGTATATATTTTTTATTTTCCTTTTTTCTCTTTTATGAAGGGCCAATTTTAAAAGTGGGGAGGTTGAAGCTTGGAATTTGAAGTTCAAAAAGGTTAATCACAATCCCACAACCAAAATAGCTAATATGCATATATATATATATATATATATGTAATGTTAATTTATGAGGTGCAAGCAATCAAGCTTCAAATAGTAACTTTTTTGTGTGGTTAAAATCAGTACTTTTAGATAATGTTTCAAACACATAAATTGTACACATGTATTTTTTGTCAAATTTTATTATTTTAATTTAATCTTTGCTTTTGTCAAATTCTATGTGTATGAAATTTAGATAATTGTTATATGCATATAATTTTTCTCTTAATGTATTGGGAATTGATGAATTTGACATGGAGCATGTGAAATAGTATGAAATATGTGTTCTTTTTTAATCTAAAGTTTAACTCACTTGATTATATAATCATTTTTAAAATATAATATTTAATAAATTTTAAATTTAAATTTCAATAAATGTAACCTTTTTTTTTAATCTCAAACTACGACCTCTTATGTAAATTTTTTTAATCCCAAACTATAACCTCTTATGTAAAATAATAAAAATAAAATTGTGTTCTTTTTTATTTGGATGGTCAAGAATCGCCCATTAGTTGGGCCATGGTACACTCCCATCTCACCTGGGTTCTAAGAACTAGTTTTTGGCTAGGGCTTGGTCTTGTGAGATTGGGCACCCCAACTTACAGGATCTCGGCTCAGAACTCTGAGGTTGGATTTCAGTAATCGAGTGAGGCAATTAGGTTGGGCCGTTCTTTGATATTATTCTATGGAGCCAGGTTGGATCTTGGTAGTCTATTAAACGTTAACTAATTTCTTATCTTTATCTTTTTTTTCATCCAAACCTGAATGCTAGTCCATTGTTAAAACTTAGAAATAGAGAGAAATGAAGCAGATGGATCTAAAACTGTATGGGAAATTCTTGATGGTGTATTTTTGAGAAATGGCTCTAAAACTGTACCATTCATCTGCGAATCCGAAAACAAAGAAAGGGAAGAAAAGGGTGTTAAAAGAACCGGCAGATAACCTAACAAAAAGCTTTCATCCAATTCAACATGGTTTCAGCCAAATCTTAATCATTTGCCTGACTACAAAATTGAGTTCAATGATAAAATTTTTGTGCAAGTCTCTTTGTTAGCTGATGTACGTTACAGAGAGTTGCTGCAGAGGGACTGAGAAGAAGAGAGGCCGTGGCTTCACTCTAATAAGTTAATTAAACCATTCCCTAATTCTTGGCTTAGAAATTTCTCAGAGCCCAAACACGGCTTGAGAATTGGGATAATCCTGTAAGAAATAATAAGATATAAGTGAAATGTGTAAAATGACATTAATTATTGTGCATCTGAGAAAAACAAGACAAAAAGAACGAGAAAATTTTGAAAAAAAAAAAAAAAACAATGAATCTGATGTTGCGTCAGTGTCTGTGTGTTTTTCTTTACGTGGTGTGAACACGGCAAGTCAACTGGCTTGTTCGTTGAAAACCGAGTGGGAATTCAACGACCAATAAAGATGTCAATAAAAAAGTCCAAGCTCAAATGTGTGTGATGCACGGCTTTGATGTTACAGCTTGTTGTTCGTACAATGATTTCCCAACCAATGCGTTTATTGCTTAAGGTGCTGAATATTTTCAGGACTTTCCCATCTGCGCCAAGTACGACAAAAGCTGAAAACACTTTGTCGTCCTCATTTTCCACGCAATTAATGTAACTATAAAAAAAGAACAAAAAAAAAGTACGTCTGTCAAAGTAAATTAATGGGTGTTAATAAAATTTTTTTTAACAACTTGTTTATGATAATGTTCTATTTTTATTGGTTTATTAAATTTAATAAATAATTTTAAATAATATTTTTATATTTATTTATTAAACAAATTAAATATAAATAAAAATTTATTTGATTCATTTATATTAATAAATAAATTTATTTAAAGTTCGTTTAAATATTATTTGTTTATTATTCTATTGTTATTCGTTTATAATAATATTAATAAAATTATATTTATATTTTTTATTTTTATATTTATTTGAATTCGTTTATATTTGTTTATGATTCATTTATTTAAATTTATTTGATTATGATTTTTTATTGTTCATGAATATATTCATTTATTTATGTTTGTGAACATGTTTATTTAATAATTTTAAACGAATTTAGTTAACTTAATCGAATGAATATAAACCGAATGTGAATAACCTATTATTTAAATAATCAATATAAATGAATAAAATAATTTTTTTAACAAACACAAACCAAACACGAATACCTTTAAAAATAAATAAATAAATCACAAATATACGTTTGTTCGTTCATATGTAATTCATTTTACAACCCTATACATAAAGGAGAAAATCAAATTCTTTTTAACATAAATTTAAGCAGGAATATTGTATTTTATTTTATTTTTTAATTTTTTTATTTAGTAACAAGGCATTTTTTAATTTTACTTATACATCTTTTTTGCATAGGTCGAAGAAATATTATTTATGTCGAATTTAATGACTTCTTAATGAATTTAAACACAATAAAAGGAAAACACTCATTTTACTACTTGAGCAACTATCCGTTGATTAATTTTTCTTGTTACTACTTATACAAGTAATATTTGGGATTTTTAGGAAATAATATTTGGAAGATTTGATTGATTTTGTCTTGGCAAACTAAACAACCATGGGAGAGAAGGAAACAAGAGTTTTGGAATTAAACTCTGGCAAATTTATGTGCAAGTATGATTTTTAATTATTGGTCTCACAATTTTTTTCTTTAATTTATCCAATATCCTATTGTATTTTTTTTTCTTTTTTATGAAAACCATTATTTTAAGAACTAAGCAGTTAGGATATCTAGTCATGGATGGAGTAGGTGTAGGTTAATGTAATTATAATAAATTATTGATTCATTTACCAAAATGAACAACATTTTTGAGATTCGCTTTTCGCTTTTCGCTTGGTAAAATATTTTGAGAGATTCTTAATCCTGCAAAATCATCATAATTAATCAAGTTTGGTTCCAATCCATCTAAAGATATCAAACAAAATTTCAACATGTTTAGATAAATCAAATATAAAATGAAATCAAACCTAAAAAAATAATTTGAGATTTCAAAAATTTTAAAATCTCATCATTACCTCTAAACCAAAGCTTCTCAGCTCAATTTTTAACACTCCATTGACACAAATATATTAATACTTCTAACTCAAAGAAGATTTTCATTAATTGTTTCTTGTGCCAATATCTTAGTATGGATGATTACTGATTAAGTGATTGATTATTGTAATAATAACAAGAATGAATGCAAAAAAAAAAAAGAGAGATAATTATTAGATCACTTTGCATAAATGATTGGATTTTCACTTTTAAGCTTCTTTGGAGAGTCCTATTGCAATCGAGGGAAACTTTTTTAATTTCTTAAGGACAAGTAGTTTCCTTTTTAAATGTTAACCTTACCCTTTTTAGTTAATTTTTTTTCTCAGCGAAATTTAGTTGCTTTTCTTTGCTATATTTAATAATTTATATAATATTTATTTTGTGTTAAATATAAAATTATTATAATAAAATTTGTATTAGTATATCAAATACAAAATATATTTTTTAATTTTTACTAAATTTATATATGATTTTATTAAAATTTTAAACATATCATTTTTATATTATTTTTATATTATATTTTGATTAAAATTATTAAATTTCATTTACTTTCATATTTAAATTGTTAAGCTTTAGTTAATACCAAAAAAAAAAAAGATAACGACAAAAACTTATAATTAATTTTTATTTTTTTACCAAGAATCACTTTTTTTAATTTTATAACTTAATCATCATATGCATAAAATTTTATCCTCAATACTTTTTCATTTTTTACCCAGCAAAACCTATGAACCTTCTTACCGCCTTCCCCTTTTCCCAACGTGTTACCCCAAAAATCCCCCACAGAATTCATTAGAATCCACCACTCTTTACCAAAAAAGAAGAAAATAATAAAAATAAAGCAAATTTCCACCTCCGAGTGGCGTACTTTTTTTTCAACAAAAGCAAAATACAATCCACAGGAAAAAAGCAAAAGTCAAGTCCCCGTCAAAGCCCCACTCTTGTACCGCGTTCAGACCTACACTTTCCACGCGCTTCCTTAGTCCCTTCTACCTAACCGCGTTGGCTGATACGTATATAAATCACCAAATCCCTCCGTTCCCATCTCCAATTTCAAACAACCTTGCTTTCACATTTCCTCAGTCAAGCCATTCAATCAAAACTCAAAAGAAACCCAGTGTTGGTATCATGGAAATCGGTTCTTTCACATTTCTTTCTCCAGAAGATTTTTCTTTTAACAACAGTAGCAGCAGTTATTTCTCATGGTTTAAGGATTTGGAAAATGGGTTCAATGCGAACAGCCGGAAGAGGGGTAGAAAAGATACTGAGGAATCTTTAGTTGACGAAGAATTGCAGATGAGTGGGTTCAGAGATATACTTTCCTCGATTTTGTTGTTGGACGAGGAAGCAAAGGAAGAGCAACACCAATGGGTCGCTGACTCTGATCAAGAAAGGGCTTTCTTCGAAGCCAATTACAAGGAAAAAGTTCAAGAAATGAATTGCTATTTCGACCATCTCCAAAATCATTACTCTGAAATGGACGAGTTGGATAGTTACAGAAACAAACGCGCCCGTCAATCCAGTTCAGCAGTTGCTGCTGCCGCGGTGGCGGCGGTTTCAGCTGGTAATTCGGACAATATGGGTCCATCCGAATCGAGCAGCGGATTCGGACAGCAGAAGCGGTTATGGGTAAAAGATCGATCAAAGGACTGGTGGGATAAATGCAATCACCCGGATTTCCCCGATGAGGAGTTTAAACGCGCTTTTCGGATGAGTAAAGCCACGTTCGATATGGTCTGCGAGGAGTTGGAACCGGTGGTGATGAAAAAGAACACGATGCTTCGTGACGCCATCCCAGTTCGTCAGCGCGTGGCGGTTTGTATTTGGAGGTTAGCCACGGGTGAGCCACTTAGGATGGTATCGAAGCGATTCGGATTGGGGATTTCAACTTGTCATAAGCTGGTATTGGAGGTTTGCACAGCCATAAAATCCGTTTTGATGCCAAAATTTGTTCAATGGCCTGACGAGAACAAAATGAAGAGGATTAAACAGGAATTTGAGTCAATCACTGGCATTCCAAACGTGGGTGGTTCAATGTACACTACTCACGTTCCAATCGTTGCACCAAAAACCAACGTCGCGGCGTATTTCAATAAAAAACATACGGGGAGGAATCAGAAAACTTCATATTCCATTACCCTTCAAGGAGTTGTCGATGAAAAAGGAGCTTTCACTGATGTTTGCATCGGATGGCCTGGTTCGATGTCCGATGATCTAGTTCTGGAAAAGTCAGCCATTTCCCAAAGAGCCACCAGGGGGCTTTTGAAGGATCTTTGGGTCGTAGGAAGCAAAGGGTATCCTTTAATGGACTGGGTTTTGGTCGCTTACACTCACCAGAATCTAACTTGGGCACAACACGCTTTTAATGAGAAAATTGGGGAGATTGAAAAGGTGGCAAAGGAAGCATTTGCGAGATTGAAAGGGAGGTGGGCATGTCTGCAAAAAAGAACCGAGGTTAAGCTTCAAGATTTGCCTGTTGTGCTGGGAGCTTGCTGTGTTTTGCATAATATTTGTGAGATGAGAAATGAGGAAATAAACCCTGAGCTTCAATTCCAGCTTTTCGATGATGAGATGATCCCAGAGAACAATTTGAGGTCTATGACTTGCGTACAAGCTAGGGATCACATTGCTCACAATTTGTTGCATCATGGCTTTGGTGGCACTGGTTTTCTATAGTGGTTTATTATTATTATTACTACTACTATTGATTTAGAAATCATTTTGTAGTATTTTAGATTTTGCTTGTAATTCTTTTTGGCTATGGCAATAAATAATTTACATAACATACATGGAATTTTCAACAAATTTTCTGTACGTTAGCTTAATTATTTAAACAAAATGAATGTGCTTGGATAATTGAGTCACAGAAATTAATGAAATTTGTTGAGCACATACAGTCAGTGCATTTTCTATATATGTTACACTAAACCATTGAGCCTTAATTTATTCCATCAACCAAGTAAACCACTTAATTTATGTTAGTATTCATATTTTCTTCATTTGACTACTAACAACAATCCCTTCCTTGGCATTGATTGCGGAGACTGATGACTTCTTTGATGTTATCTCACTAGGGCTCATTTGGATTCCATCGCAGTTTGAATAGCATTTCATTGTTGTAATTGGGGACCAAAAATCTCATTGCTTCTCTAATTGGAGACTGAAGTGAGAAGATTTCAATAATTGATTGCCCTGTTTTAAGGCACTCGACTGCTTTTAATATAAAATTGAAATAGAAACAATTTTTTTTTTTTTATTGTGGTAGTTAACTGTTTTTGTTGTGACAATAGATATACTTAATTTAAAAACTATTATTGTATTTGCATTGAAATATATATTTTAATAATTGATTTTAATATTATTGTAATTAATTTCACTACCATCAATTAAAATTAATTTTTAATTGAGATAATATTATCAATAGTCCTTAAATTATAATAAAATTTTAATATAATGTTTAAATTGTAAATCTATTAGCTAATATAATATTTAATAATTTATTTATCAATCATGAAATAAACCACACACTTTAAAAATAAATATCATATTAATTATAAAAATTTATAATTTAAATATCACAATAAAAATTTTAAAATTTCACTATAATTCATATAGGAATACATTAAACTTCTTTAATTTAAGAAAATCTTAACCGGTGGATAAAAACTGCTTGCCAACACTTATTTCCAAAATTAATTGCTTTACAAAAGGTATTGTCTAAAGATTTGTTGAAATAATTATTATCATCATCTCTGTTCTGTCCTGATAATTTTCTCCTATATGACGTTAGCTTCTCACATAATATATAGTCTGAGCAGAACATTTTGGTAGGTCCCGTTTGCTTGTTTTTTTACAGAAAAAAAAAATGAAGTCTTTTCATCTGATCAGATACTAACATCGGCACACAATTTGATGCGCTGTTTTCCCCTGAGTCCGTGACCGATGATCAGGCGGAAGGGGTCCTATCTGATCCCATTTTTATTGAAACAACCGGCAATTCAAGGCCAGTCTGACCACTAAACAGTAGTCCACGATTATAAAAATCCTGCGTGTCGGACCCGAGTTCCAGTTGCCAATTGTAAAATACTACGTGTCAATAAACAATGTCGGGTTGTTGAATTGAAAGGAAGGCAGAGGGAACAGCGAATGGAAATCCTCTGCTACACTTGGCGCCTCGTTATGTGATTTATGCCACGTGTCAAGTAAAAAAATTTTTTTTTTAGGTTTCCGTCAAGTTGTTAACATGCATGTTAATTCAGTCATGTTTTTGACAGAGCAAATTTTGGTAAATTTTTTGGCGTTTTATTTCTTTTATTTTTTATTTTATGCACAACATTATTAATAATTAAAAAACAAAAGAGCTAAGATAATAATTATTTCTTTATAAGGTTTTCTATAAAAAAACGCTTTTAACTTTAATTAAAGTTGTTAAATAATAATTATAATAAAAGTTTCGTTTGTTCTGTAAAATTTTATTCTTAAAAATGATTTTTACGTCTTTTAATGTTTTATTCCACAAAAAAATTAATTGATTTACGAAAAATGGTTTGATAATCAATGGAAAATAAAATAAAAAGCTTGAAAATAATACTATTTAAAAAAAGGGAAAATTTCTAAAAAAAAATTATTATTAGTCAATAATAACGAATTTGGGCATTTTGTTTTAGGGTCCCAACTAAAATTATACTTTATTTTTTTCAGTTGAGGTATCTTATAATATTTACTAATATAAAAGATATATGATAGAATATACTAATAAAAATTAATAAACTCACTTAATTTTATTAATTCATAAACAAATGTATAAAAAATAAAATTATCAAATAAATAATTTTACAATTTTATTTTTACCTAAAATTATTAGTGTTCTTTTAAAAAAACTAAAAATTCGAGATTTAACTCTAAACTAAATATCTCATTAATCCTCACTAATCTCTCTTCTAATATCGATGACTAAATAATCTTGTATACGTATAATTTAATATTTGCAACAATCGTATTGATCTTAAGGGTTTATGAATAATGATCGGTAAATATAAAAAATAAAAAATAATAATGTGATTTTAATGTATGAAATTAGCTTGCAGACAAAAAAATTAACAAATAAAAAGTTAATTTGAGGGGACCAATTAAAATTTATTTAATATATAATTTTTGGAGCTTCCATTATGATCCACCATTGTGGCTCGGGCTATTTATCCAAGTTTGTGAGTTTAGATTGATTGGGGCCAGGGGTGGATAATGTTTAGGTGTTAATTTTTTTGGCAAAAGAATGAAAAATATAGTTATATAATAAAAATTTTATTTTATTTAATTTTAATCAATATTATTGTATATAAAATAAAAAATAAAAGAAAATAATGCTAATCGGAAACTTTTATATGTATATATAAAAACCTGAGCCATGCCGGAAAAGCTTTGTTTTTTTTTAGATCTCGTGCGTCCCCCACATGAAATAACCTGAGCCTTTGGCCTGCTTCGTTGTCACAATCACCAAAAACCACACACAGGAGAAAAAAAGCAAAAAAGAGTTTATTGTATTTATAAGAGAAAGAGGAAGATAGCGAGAGAAGGAGAAGGGTATAACAATAATGGAGAATCATAAAGAGGAGGTGAAAGAAAGAAAGGAGGAGGAGGTGGGACCAATGGCTGGGGCGGACGAGGGGGAGGAGGAGGAGGCGGAGGATGATGATGAAGTGACTAGCTTGACGCTTGAAAGGGTGGCTGCCGCTAAGCAGTTCATTGAGAGCCACTATAAAGCCCATATGAAACATATCCAAGAACGCAAAGAAAGGTATGTGGGAAAGCAAATGTTTTCTACGATATCATAGCATGTTAAATTCATCTGTATGATTCATTTGCTAAATGTTTATGCATGGCCTTGAGTCTTTTTTCCCTTTGGACGTTTCTTTCATGAAGATCTTGTCTTGCGTTTTTTTTTCTTGCCAGTGTCTTTTTCTTTTTGATATGGTCTTTGATTTGGGAGCTGGAATGTGTTTAGTGTTTTTATTGCATGAGATTGCTTTGGGCATTTTGGAAAATTGTGATTTTGTTGTAGTTGTTATTCTTGTTAACATTTTGGGAAATTACATGTTTTCATTGCAATGCAAGTCCATTTGTCTATGAGCACCACAGCTAGAAAGGAGCTCTGAAAGAAATATTGAAACTGCCATCAAGGCCTCGATCCAACGTTAAAATGATTGACTGAGACCATGGAAGGTCCAAAGTTCAAATCTGCCTTCCCCATTTGTGTGAGGACATAGTTTATATAAAAGAGCCATGATATTTGAGTTAGAAATTAATGTCACAGAAAGTGGCATTATCTTTTACTCACATGGTTTTCCATTTTAGTCTTCAATAACTCTGCGCTCTTTGTTAAGTAACTTTTTTCTTGTAGTCTCTCTTTCTCTTTACATAGAAATAGACATAAATGTGTTGTATTTATTCTTATTTGTTTTACAATGTTAATTCTGCCTCTTCGATATTCCTTTTTTTTCCTAGTAATTATTTGTATTTACCTTATATGATTGTAGTTTTGTTGAAGGAGACTGTTATGGATATGAGAATAGACTGTTAAGATGTTTGACTTTGGCATATCCTTGCAAATTTTATGAATTGCAGGCGTTCAGTGCTGGAAAAGAAGTTGGCATCTTCAGATGTTTCAGAAGAGGAACAAAAGAATCTGCTGAAGGATTTGGAGCGCAAAGAGTCAGATTATATGCGGCTTAAAAGAAACAAGATTTGTGTTGATGATTTTGACCTTTTAACCATTATTGGGAGAGGAGCTTTTGGAGAGGTTAGAAATACAAACATTGTTTATAGTGTTCATTGGACATCCTTTTGACTATTTTCTTTTTCTTTCTTTTTCCTGTAACAATTAACATGTTGTGTTGAAACTTGTGTGATATTTGGAAATGATTGCAAGATTTACAGAGTGAAACATTCTGTTAAAATGGAAAACAAAAATAATAATTACAAAATCTATTCTACTTGAAATCAGATTTAAAAATGTTAAGCAACTAACAGATAGCAATAGCATTCATGAATGTAGCAATTGTGGTGTAGATGAAGCTACGTATAGAGTTTACTAAGGTGGGTGATGGTAGAAGTTTATTGATTCACTGATGTTTGTTTTGAATTTCTGTTATCAAATTATGCATGATATCATGATTATTGTGCTTAATAAAAATTTTAGCATGGAGCAACACTTCTAGTGTTGTGGTAGGATCATTGTGCAATTGCTAGGAGAGCTGATTAATGAAGTTCAAAACAAATACACTTCTAATTCTTCAATTTTGTCGTATGGTTGAGACATGTCAATCCTTTTTTTAAGGAGATCACTTGAAAATTAAAGTCCAAGCTTTATCTATGCACCAAGTTGTAGATGGTATTGAAGACCTTGAGTTTCAAGAAAATTACAAATCCTCCAATTTGAAACTGATTAGAACCCTGTATGCTATTAGTGTATAAATCTCAGTCATATGAGTTTAAATTACAGCAGATAAACATTGTTTCATATGCATATAATTATTAGATGTGGATTCTAGGCTGTGGATTTCCTTTTTTTTTCCTTTTCCGACTTGAGTGATCCTATTACTTGCATAATTCATTATTATGATTTTTCTTTTTAAATCTCAGCTGTTCTGTTATGATTTGGGAGGTTATGGTTTGCTCATATGTTGTTAGTTTACAGGTAAGATTGTGTCGAGAGAAAAAATCAGGTGATATTTTTGCCATGAAAAAGTTAAAGAAGTCAGAAATGCTTAGCAGGGGACAGGTGATATCTGAATTTATTAGTCATTTAAGTTCAATTTATGCATCCATAGCATATTTGAGGAATTCCACCTCCATTTTTCTTTCTTCTAGATTTTTTTCATGATGTTGAAAACTCTCACTCACATGTTGCTGTGCCACCTGTTTAATCCTTTTACACTCACAGATTTTGTACATACAACATAGGTTGAACATGTGAGAGCTGAGAGGAATTTGCTTGCAGAAGTTGCCAGTCACTTCATTGTGAAACTCTACTATTCTTTTCAAGATGCTAAGTATCTGTATCTAATCATGGAGTATCTGCCTGGTGGTGACATGATGACTTTGCTAATCAGAGAAGACACCCTAACTGAGATGGTGGCCAGATTTTACATTGCTCAAAGTGTTCTGGCCATTGAATCTATTCATAAGCATAATTACATTCACAGGTTAGAAGCCTTTTGTTTATTACCAACAGAAATATCAGGTTGTGGAATATTGTTAAGGCTGTAATATTGTTGCTCTTGTGAATTTTATCAACATCTGAAAATGTGCATGTTTCTTTTTCGTTTCTCCAGAGACATTAAACCTGACAATCTTCTGTTGGACAAAAATGGTCATATGAGGCTCTCTGACTTTGGTCTTTGCAAGCCTCTAGACTGTAGAAATTTATCTCCCATAAATGAAAATGAAACACTGGATGATGAGAATTTGAATGAATCAATGGATGTTGATGGGCAGTTCCCTGAATCTGGTAGAGGAAGGCGGTGGAAAAGTTCCCTTGAACAATTGCAGCACTGGCAGCATAACAGAAGGAAATTGGTACAACTTTTCTTTCTTTTTGTTAAGTTACAAATGTATCATTCTAATGCATGCATGCATATGTATACATGAAGCATGTTCACTGATTTTATTTCAGAGGATTCTATAATCTAAACTCAGAGATTGTAATATCATAATGGATGCAAATGAATTTTGTGGCTATCCATGGAGCCATCGTGAGTGCGTTTGTAGCAGAGAAAATTCATTTCAAGATTTCATCAATAACTCAGGTGCATGTTCCAATGAAGTATGGAAGGAGCAAAAACATGTTGCGTAATGTTAGGTTTAATCTTAAGGATGATTAAGTGTATCAGTAAACAAATTTGTCAAAGTTGTTAAACCCTAAATTCTAGCCCCATTTCTTTTCTATCTTTTAAGTTACCGGATGAATTGAACTTTAGGATTCTACTGAATTTTTTTATTCCTTTCCCTTTTCTTTTGTTGCTTGTATGCCTTGTTAGAAGGTGGCATCCTTGTTAGTAAATTTTTGGAGGGAATCAAGTAATATGTCCAATTATTTATTTTGTCAATTATTCTTAGGTTATTTTTCTTCCTGTTTCAATGGCAGGCATTTTCAGCAGTTGGAACACCAGATTATATTGCACCTGAAGTATTGCTGAGGAAAGGATATGGCGCAGAGTGTGACTGGTATGACTTAGAATGAATGATGTTTTCTCATGAGATTTTTAAAACTTAGATCTTGTCCTCTCATTCTGCATCTGCTTTTTGTTCTCATGTTTTTGATTGAATGTGGAGTTAACATTTTCAAAGCAAATGTATCTTATTGGAAGAAAACTTGGTTGAAGACATGCTGGTCTTATTGTCGTCTGAATGTCACCAAAGTCTGAAGAGGCCAAAGAAACAAAGTCGTGTTCTCTACAAAAGAATATTTAATTTTTTCCAAGATGAATATTGTTTTTGGTTTGTTTCTTCAAGATCTTTTAAATTTAAATGGTTAGAGAGTGATCTAAAGTAAGTTGCAGGAGGATATGCAAAAGAGTTCTCTGAAGACTATTTCGCACTGCAATAACAGGATAAACTTCATAGAGATGATATTTTATGTATATCTATGATATGCATTGTATATAATCACAATTCATAAGGTAATTGGATTTTCTCTTTAATAAATTCTTATCATTTTACATGTGTGCAGGTGGTCACTTGGTGCTATCATGTATGAAATGCTTGTTGGTTATCCTCCATTTTACTCTGACGATCCAGTGACGACATGCAGAAAGGTTTTATTTGCTCTAAAGTTTTGTTTTCAATTTTTCAGCTATTTTGAGTCAAATTACGGGATCTCTAGTTAGCTTTTAACTTATGTTGTCCGATTTCAAATGTTCATGTGCTCTTCTTCATAACACCATTCTATCTCGTCTGCCTTATTGTCATTCTTTTTTCTCTCATTTTGGTAGCCTTAATGGTATTCTTAAGGTAAAATGCTTGATGTGGTGTTTGACTAATTCAATTCATTCAGTAGATATAGCAATGATGTGATGTTAAGTGACTAATTGTCTAGCTCTCTAACCTCTTAGAAAAGGTTAGAATACTCGATTTTCTTTTTATTTACTTATTCCTTGATGTACTGACAAATGCATGCCAGATAGTGCACTGGAAAAATCATTTGAAATTTCCAGATGAAGCAAGGCTGACACCTGCAGCAAAGGATTTGATCTGTAAGTTGCTTTGTGACGTTGACAATAGGCTTGGTACTTTAGGAGCAAACCAAATTAAAGTAAGTTCCGTGAATGTCTAAATATTCAATTTCCATTTTCCTTTATATTGTGTTCTATTTTACACATATTAACAATGCGTATAATTAGGCTCATCCTTGGTTCAAAGATACTCAGTGGAACAAGCTCTATGAAACGGAAGCAGCATTTAAACCACAGGTCAATGGAGATCTTGACACTCAAAATTTTATGAAATTTGATGAGGTAAGTTATTGTGAGACATATCCATACTTTCTCAATATTTAACAAGGTTTTTTTTTTTTTTTTTAGTTATTTTTTGCTTTTGATGCTCTTCAAAAGGCATTTTCTGCCTTTGTTTCTATGGAGCCTACTGGTGACACAAATTCTGACTGTGCCCCAGGTAGAATGTCCAAAACCAGAAAGGACGGGATCTGGGCCATTAAGGAAGGTATCTAACTATTCTGCAAGGACTGTAAGGATGACTATCAATGCAATTGGCTGCAGTTTGAACTTTGAATGAGTTAACCATTGTTTTGCTGTGATCATTTTGCATTTTAGTTGAAGATCATGATTGAAGTTTCTTGGCCGGCCTCTAATTCTTCTCTACTGTTATTGACTAACACCGTGCATTTGAATGTCCTTAATTTATCGAAACGTGATAATGTCTTGCATAACTTACCATTATTGTTTCTTGCTGTTTTGGCAGATGCTTTTAACTCCTGAAGATCTTAATTTTGTGGGCTACACATACAAGAATTTTGAGGCTGTCAAAGGGTTACGTCATTCTTTTGGTATAAGATTCTAAGTTCTTTTTGTCAAATCTTTGATTTCGTGATTTAAAATCATATCATTAAAACTTTTTTCCTTTCTATGTTGCTTCTTTTGATCAAAACAAAAAAATTCTTTCAAGTAACCTAAGTAACTGATTGTAAAATGTTCACATGGGAGGACACTGTTATATTCCACTTATTACTTGCATTAGCTCTGTCAATAAGGTCATTATTGGTCTTTCCAACAAGCCAAACCCATGCCTGTTGACCTTTAGAGGATAAAATCTTTTTAGCTTGCTTGGAGAAGGAAAGAAGGGAAAGAGAGAATGTGCCACCATTAAACTCAAATGCAGTTGCATCTCATTTGCACATGCATGTGTAGTTTAAAACTGTATTCGACTCCTTTTGTCGCTCAACATAGAATTTTCTCATCATTAATTCATTCAACTGCTGCAGATATAAAGGAGACGGCACCACTAAGGCAGTCATCAATTGACTCGTTCCACAGTAAGATCTCGTCCCTAGACTAGCATTGTTGGGTCTGGTTTTTTGTTTGCCCCGATCAAGTTAAACTTTTCTCATAATGAGTTTGTCTTGTAGGTGATTCTGGTGTGGACTACTCTTCTAATGAGACAGAAACGAGTAAGCTTTGATGATCGGGAGATGGCATGGAACGTCGAGGAATGGCTCAAACCTTTCCATGTATAGCACCATGCACAATGGATAAACAAGCTCTTCTTACTTTTGCTTGATGGGTCTACCTGCTTATTTCAGTCAGGTTCTACCCTGATTTTGCTAATTCATTGAAGTTTGCTGCCACAAATTGTCCAAACTAACAAGTGTACAGTAAATATCGATTAGAATGAGCAGAGTTCTTCCAATGGGACTGGCGCTGGTAGCCATAAGCGAGAGTTTCATGTCCATTTAGTCATTGAGATTTTATTGAGGTTGTCCTCTTTTCATCCTTTGTTGATAGTCCAGTGAATTGTTGAAATGTCTAAAAATAAATGGTCAGGCTCGGGACTCAGGACATTGACCGGTACATTTACAAGGAAAGCCTTGTCCTTTGGCAATGAACCGCAAATCATGTGTCTCAACTCTTCGCAAAGTATTTTTCATCAACAGAAAAAAAAAAAAAAACCCCAGGGAACTTATTAAAATCATTCATTTGAATTTAATTAATTCACCCATTAATTTCAATTGAGCATTCATTAGTTGTTAATACGTTTTTTTTTCTTTAATTCTTGTTGACTTTTTTTTTTTTCATTAAAAAATTGTTATATGTCCTAACCAATCAATAACTAGTGATTGTTCTTTGTGGTATCAATCATTAAATCTTTTTGCATAGATGCTGCTAATCAAATCAATGATTACTGACATGGTAAAGCCATTATTAATTCACATAAAATTTTATTGATAAATACCCTTTGTTTTATATTTTAATTTTATTTATATATTTTGTTTCACGAATATTATATGTATAATTCATTTATTTTAATGATATTATAAGATGAAGTGGCATAAAATATTATAAATATTTTATCTTATTAAAAAATAATCATAACAACTAATATTTAACGAAATTAAAGAGTATCAAATTATACACCAAAAATAAAAAAATATTGAATTATACATTTTTAAAATAAAAATATTAAATTGAAAATTTTATATAATATAAAAACTAAATATGACATTATTACATTTGCATAAATTTCTTTCAAGTCAACTTTAAATGTTTTCATTTCGTTATCTTTTATCTAAAATTAGTAGTTTACATATTGACAACTCAAAAAAAAAGTGTTTTTGGATTCTAATTTATATAAAATTAAAGTTAAAATATTTTCAACTGAAATTATACATTTTATCGTTATATTTCACCAAGACAAACATACCCAGGACTCCAACTTTACATGAACCGCAAGCTGTCTTACGAGCCGGCTCAACATTTTCTTATTACCAAAAAAGCCCCGTTCAGAAACTCGACATCTTCGCATTAAGGACAACGAACTATGGCCATAATCGTCATTTAATTTAGCCCAATTCCATGCCGATCAAAACACGGGCGCTGTCGACCTCCATGGCCATGAACGAACTTTCCACTCTTCCGATTTCGAGCTTCGAATCAACTACGTAAACCAAATTCGTATCCGTAATTTAAAGAAATTAATTATCTTGCTGAAAATTACAGCCTCTGCCATCATCTCTTCTCGCGATTCATGGAAGGTAGATTTCTACTCACATTCTTGATTGCAAGCTGTAGGGTTTTCTATTTTTAATTTCTTAACTTTTGTTTGTTTCTTTGATTGACTTTTATTTCAGTTTTATTTTATCATATTCGTGTTGGCTTAGTTTTTAGGGTTTTTCTGCAATTTTTTTATCAGTATTATTAATTGTTTATTCAATTGTTAACGTCTGATGTATGAAGTACGATTGAGATGTAAAATGGACGAATTAGAGATAAAAATGGTAATTTTTGAGCTTAGATTGGCTTTACTGTGTAAAATAGAGCATTTCATTTGATGCAGCTGGATTTTGTTGAAATATTGAGGAATATAACTGAGATAATATGTTGTTTTGTTGTTGTTGTGACGGTATTTTAGCTCGGATTAATTGAAGTAAGGAAAGTGAAGTTGAAGGCGATTAGACGTATCTGTGTCATGGTCAATGAAGGCAATTATATGCATCTTTGCTATGGTCAAAAAATGGAGAAACAGAAGAACAAGGTTGATAAGGAAATAATTAAAATGGGAATGCTGCTTCAACTGACTGCTATGAGCAAGAAGTCTCTGCCATCTGAAATCACAGTTAGTTCCATTAATTAAATAGTGTTGGTCTTACATTTTAAATTGGTTGAGATAGATATTTAATTAATTTATTGAATATAAAGTATAGATGTTGCTCGGTCGGAGATTACAATTAAAAGATGGCACTATTCTTCTCTTTGAGTGTAATTAATGTGCTGAAATTGATTTCTGGGGCTAACTTTTTTTGAATTATGATTCTATTGGACAAAATAAGGTAAACCATTTACTAATTTTTTTTCCCTTAATGAGTGTATGCATGCACCCTCATGAATCATGGTAAGGTAGTTAATGGTTTTGGCAGGTACTCTCAATGGCATCATCTTTTGATTCAAGAGGCCAACCCCTCATTTTTACATTCATTTATTATCTATTCCATATTTCTTTCATAAGTCCTAATGTGTTAATGATATTATTGTAAAATGCTTTTGCTACATATATACCCTGATTTGTGTCTATGCATCTATCTGTGATTCATGATTCTGATATTGATTTGCTTGTTTTCTTACATGCACAATGCAGAGACAGGCTGACAGCCTTAATAGCAATTTTTGTAATAGGTCATTTGATGCATGGGAGGGTGATCCAGATGGAGGGGTTATATAGTTTAGAAATTTATTTAAATGAAAAATAATTTGAATTTCATGGGTGGTTCAATCATAATTTTTTATTTATATGGGGTTTGCTTGTGAGTTAGGTTATATTAATTGTCTTTACTTATTTACCAATTATGAGGCTTATGGAGTGCCCTCAATATCTATGTGAGCTCAGTCATTACTTATTTACTAATTATGAGGCAGTGGAAGGTAATGAATCTCCTCTTAGTTCCATGGTCTAAGATATTTCTTTATAACTACTAGGGAGTATGCTATGACTTAATTTTAACCTACTAGTTCCAGTTGTATTTTTTATGTGTGTAATATCCATAAAACAGCATAATTTTTGAGGTGTTATTGAGTGTATTTGGAGTCTAATGCAAAATTTATGTGCTTATCCTTTATTTCTACCGTGCAGATATGTTGTCTGTTGTCCTTAAGAGTTTAAATCAGCCTTTATGTGCTGTTGTTCTGCAATTTTGTCATGCACCGCTGTATTTATTGGCTTTGTAAAATTGTTGATTTGCAAAATCTGATGCAATGGCAACATCTAGCAAGTTTGATCTGTCTTCTGGTAGCCCAGATAGGCCACTATACACCAGCGGGCAGCGTGGAGCCCACTTAGCTGCCCAATTAGACAGATCAGGGAGCTTTCGTGAGACCATGGAGAACCAAATTCTATCTTCTTTGCCAAGTATGTCGAGGAGCAGTTCTATAGTAGCCCAAGGAGATGTATCCAACTTCTTTCAATGCTTGCGATTTAATCCCAAGGTGGTTGCTGCTGATCATAAATCAAATCGTCAAGGAGACTTTAAACAGCACATTAATGTTGCTCTTGGCATTTCTGCTGATGAATCTCCTACTGTGTTGTCAAAAGGCAAGCTGCTGCCTTCTCCTGTACCAGAGGAAATCAAACGAGTTAAGGCTGGCCTACGTGATTGCTCTGTCAAAGCCAGGTAGTTCTTTGTAAATTTTGTATCTTGGGTTGAAGTTGTCATTAGTTATTAAAGTGAATTAGTTGACAGGGAGCGTAAGAAAATTTTCAATGAGGCCTTGTCAGTATTCAACAAGTTTTTCCCAAGCATACCATCTAAGAAGAGATCTCGATCAGAAAGCTTTTCTAGTGACCGATCTAATGCCTTGTTATCTAGTGATCTTTCAGTCTTGTGGCCAACAATTGGTAAGATGGGAATGCATAATCATTCCATTGCTGGAGGTTTTGAATTTGAACAGCAGAAGTCAGAAGAAAGGCCTAAAAGTGCTGTTCCAAATAAACGTACTCGAACTTCTCTGGTGGATGTGAGGGTTTGTATCTTTGATATCTTCCATCTCTATGCATTTTCTGTCATGGTAATATTATAATTTCATATCTGCTATTGGGCCTGATAATAAAGTTGTGCAGTGGCTATTTTATGCGTTACATTCAAGTATGATTGGAATCAAAGAGTGCTATCTCGCAATGTAATTATTGTTGTCAATATTACTTCTTTTGTTTCTCCTCTCTGGTGTTCCCTTTCTTTCTACACTACTAGTTGATTTCTTCTTCTTCATTTGTCACTGAATCCAAACACCACTTCTTTCTTTTGATTCAACTAGGTGGTTGTGGCTGGTTTGTTCTCTTCACTCTTCCTTGTTAATGGATTTCCTTATGTACTTCAGTCATTGAGTTAGTACTTATGTGGGTGATAGGAAGCCCATTTTCTGTCACAAGAATCCCCATAATATTCTGTTTTACATGTGTACTAATATGTACATGGTTTTACATTGCATTTTCTTACTCTTCTGCATAGTTGTAATACCTCTGGTCTCATCTTGGTGGCTTCATGCTCAATTTGAATGTGGTATGACTTTTTTGCATCACTATCTCCTGAAGAGAAGACTTAACATTTGTTCTGATGAATCTAGATGGATATGCGGAATAATGCTCTAGTCAGGCTGCCTGGTAATGCAGATAGGGATAGGGAAATGCTCAAGGTTTCAAATAGTACTGTTGCAGTTCAGGCTGAAGAGCGAACTTTATCGGGTGGTGTTGATGGATGGGAAAAGGCAAAGATGAAGAAAAAGCGTTCTGGGATAAAACCTGATGTTTCTCCAAGTATGGTATCAACTAAACCCATTGAAGGGTACCGGGAATCTAAACAGGGAATACAGCAAAGGCCTGTTACTGATGCTCGATCAAGGTTAAATAATGACTCCCATGGGTTCAGGTCGGTCTACTGAAAATGCTACTATTGTGCACATACCATGGTGATTACTTGATTGCTTGTCTTAATAACATCTCTTAAGGGCTTGGAGGACAACCACCCTTAAGTATTAGGAACCACTATTATCATTGGCAGCTTTTACCATAACTATCATAACAATAAGAATCATCTATGTAATTCACTGTTGTCGGAACCAGACTGGACCGGTTGAATTGGTAACTGGTGGTCTATCCAGTCCGGTAAGGTTAATTGAGCTGGTACACATTGGACAGAAACACCAGTTGTACTGGGTTAAACCAGACCGAATTGGTATCAAATTGGTTTTAGGTATTTATTTGTTAATTAATCTTAAAAAAAATTTTATAAATGGTGAGATTTGAACCCTTGACCACTTACCTTTTCATTAAGGATTCAAATGTGTGTCCTTGTTAAGTATTCACTATACATAATACTTATTTAATGCCAACATCATGCATATAACAATAACAACCCTCTTTAATCAGAATGGCTGGTCAAGTTGGTTGGACTGAAACTCCAATGGTTCAACCTCTGGTCCAGTTTTAAAGGCATTGATGTAATTAGCAACCTATGGCGATTGATATCCTCAGCCCACTGCCAAGAGTTCTGTGGGAATGAGGGGCTTCAATCATAATAATGATGGCAGTAGCAGCTTTTGTCAATATGCTCTTGTAACCTAATTTATCATGCATGAATTGTATTCCTTCTTCCTCTTTGTCTTAATTGCAATGTTCTGTTGGATTTACTGAATTATAGATGTCAAACTTATATTTTATGCTTCTAAGGTTCTTTTTTATTCTGACTGCAATCGTATATTTATTTTTCAAGTTTCTTATTCTATTTTGAGCATGGTATTAATTATATTGTCAGGGTAAAAAACGATATATACTTATGGTAAACTGTTGTTCATTCTTTCATATTTGTTTGTTATGTTTTACCCACCTTTTATTATCCTGTGCTGTATTGTCCTTATTAGGCATGCCATTGTGGTTGAGATTAAAATCACCTCAATGGATGATATGGAGCTCTAGATTATGTGAAGTTGCTCATGCCTTTGTGCATAGGATATCTAACTAATGCCTTAAAGCTGTATTTACACTTGAGAATGTTTGCCAGAGAAGTATAAGATGGTACATTTACTAATTTTATCCATCTTGCACATAATGTTTGTGAGGTAGAGTACTTTAATCATGGTTTGACCTAACTTTCTGATTTAGATCCAAGCACATGATTTTCAGACACATTAAGAAAGAACTCTTATTGGGGGCCTTCACCTCACACTATAGAGGAGTGCAGTTTCCTTAATAGGTGATCATAATGGTGAATGTAGGGAAATAATGTTAGGGGTCTTTCTTGGTTTGCCAATTCTTCTATTTGGAGCATTCCATGAATTGAACCTTCTTTTTCACTTTTTTTTTAACCTTTTGATCCTATTCTTGATTTTATATTAATAAATATATCATTTCTTAGGTCAGGAATTGCTAATGGATCTGTTGGAGTTGGAAAATCAGAAGGTATCTCACAGCTGACAGGCTTGGGTCCACGGTCATCTGTCCCAAGGACTGATCCGGACAACAGTTCCCTTCTCAATGATAGGAGAGATGGTCCTGTTGGTTCTGATAAAGAGAGAGTGACTCTTAGAGTTGCTAACAAGTATGCATAGTTTTAATACATATTTAATTTTCCATTAAAGTTTTTGGTTCGTACTTATAAGGGATTTGTTTTTGACATTTGGGGCATCTTTATTTCTGACTCCTGCAGTGCTTTTCCACCTTGGGCCTCACGGCACTATGTGTACTCATTTGTATGCCCCTTATTCTGTAAATGTGCAGGATGAGTGTTCGTGATGAATTTAATTCAGCTAGTCCTACTTCAAGCACAAAAATGAATGCATCTATTCGCGGTCCACGATCAGGTTCTGTAGTTGCTTCAAAGTTGTCACCAGTTGTTCACAGAGCAACTGCATCAAATGACTGGGAGCTTACTCACTGTATGAATAAACCACCTACTGCGGGTGGAGCTAATAATCGCAAGCGCACAACATCAGCTCAGCCTTCATCACCACCTGTTGCCCACTGGGCCAGCCAGAGACCACAGAAGAGCTCCCGTACTGCAAGGCGAACAAACCTTGTTCCTATTGTTTCAAGTAATGATGAAATTCCATCACTGGATACTGTGTCTGATATGGCAGGTAATGAGATTGTGTCAGGATTTGCTAGACGCTTTTTGAGCAGCTCTCCCCAACAAGTTAAACTAAAAGGTGATGCCTTATCTTTGGCTGCTCTTTCTGAGAGTGAGGAGTGTGGGGCTGCGGAAATTAAATCTAAAGAGAAGGTCAAAAAATCTGATAAAATAGATGAGAAAGCTGGACAGAATGTTCAAAAAGTAACCACTTTGGTTCTCCCATCAAGAAAGAATAAGCTGATGAATGGGGAAGACATTGGAGATGGTGTACGTCGACAAGGGAGGACTGGGCGGGGTATTTCTTCTACGAGGTCTCTTATGCCAATGGCAGTTGAGAAGTTTGGCAATGTGGGAACAGCAAAACAGCTCAGAAGTGCAAGGCTTGGTTTGGATAAGGCCGAGAGGTTAAATATTTCTTCCTATCGACCCCTGTTCCCTTTTACTCTAATAATATTTCTTTTTATGGTCTAGAAGCATCATTCCTTCGGATTGAAATCTCATAGTATTATGAATATTTTACTCAGCAAGGCTGGTCGTCCTCCAACTAGGAAGCTTGCTGACCGCAAGGGATATGCACGTCAGAAGCATACAGCAATCAATGCAGCTGCAGATCTTCTTGGTAATTATACTTCAAGCTAACTAAGAAATTTCCTTGGATTCTTAAACACCTATGCTTAACAAAATTTTCTGGAATTCTAAATCTTCAACTACATGTTCGTGGCTTCTTATCACTTTTGGTACAATTTTCTTAGTCGGTTCAGAGGATGGACAGGAAGAGTTGGTGGCTGCTGTAAACGCTCTTATGAGTTCTGGTAGTGTCTTCCGAAATCTTTGGTCATTTTTTTGTCAAAGATTTTGTTATTTTCTTTGTTTCAAAATTTTTCTTTTTGCATTGGTTGATTTTACTGTCATTGCAGCCCATGATTTCCCCAACTCCTTTTGGAGGCAAATGGAGCCTTTTCTTGGTTTCATATCTGATGCAGATATTGCCTATGTGAAGCGGCAGGTATTGTTCCTTGTCCCACCAATTAAGATTGATTGTCACTGTTATTATCAGACTGTAGAAAACATATTTTACTTGAAATGTCTTACATGGGTCTCAGAACCTAGACCTTGACCCTCCATTGCCGCTTAGGTTGTTGCCATTATTTATGTTTTTATCAAATTTTGCAGAAAAGAATGAGATAAATAAATAAATTCCTGTTGACTTGCTGATATATATATATATATATATATATTAGGTATTTATGGTTGTCAGACCATGTGATTACTTTTTGAGAATTCATTTTATTTGATTTGGTATGAATACTTTGCAATCCTAGAGCTTACCATGTCAAGTTTATTTATTTAACATTAAAAAATTGAGTTTTGTCTCCAATCACATATCTTTTTAATGCTACAACACCATCGTAAAAATCCAAGAAGCAAAAACAAAGAGAAGATGGCAATAGAGTGCCTAAAATGTACTTATACCTTCTTGTTCCTTATTAAATTTCATAAAATGTTTTTGGTTTTGTTGTGATTGATGTTTGAGATTCAAGAACCCATCTTTTTCTCAACTATTTTTGTCTCTCTAAACTCTTTTCATATCTTTCAGGGAAATTATGAACTCACCAAATTGGGATCAACAGCAGTTCCTTCTATTATAGATGGTTGTCGTACCATCCCCAACGGATGTGGGTTGCTTGGACAGGAAAGAGATGGTGGAATTGCTGCTGTAACATCAACTATTGAACCCCTTTCACAACAGTTTCTCTTGAATGCAAGGGACAGTAATGTGATTCCCCTCTGTCAGAGATTTTTAGCAGCTTTAATTCCAGAAGAAGATAGTGAGAGTGGAAATGAAGACCTCCCATTTGATGTATATGGAACTGGATTTGAGATTGATGGAGAATTGGGATCCAATGGTTTGAGTCATATTGTAAACTTCCAATCTACTGGGCATGCTTCTTTCAATGGTTATGGTATAACTGGGAAGCCAGAACATGATGATCCTGAAATTGATATGTTGGGAAATACAGGAATTAACTCAAATTTTAGTCATTCCCCGAATGGCACTTTTCCAGACCAACTGATGCCTAGCATGGTTTGTTCAGAATTCCCGTATGAGAGTATGAAGATAAATGAGAAACTCTTTTTGGAGGCTCAAAGTATTGGAATTTTCTTAGAACCACTGGTTAGTCTACTTCTACATGAATATTCATATTAAATGCTGCATTATCATTCTCGTCACATTAGTTCATCCTGCAGTTGGCAGCTCCTATCTCTCTCTCTCTCTCTCTCTCTCTTGTTTCAAAATCAATAATAGTCATGATCTAGCAATCTGGTCTGCATTTCTATTGTTACCTGATCGGTTGGTTGCCAAATGGTGCACATATGTCCACTGCAGCTGTTTATTATCTTGGGGGGCAATGTTTTTTCTGACTTTGCTGTGGTTTACTGTGGATGCTTGTGTCTGTCTGGTTTGTTCTGTTTCAACCTTGACATTAAGGTTGTTAATGTATTTAACTGTATGTATTTCACTCTTTTTCAGCCTGACATAGCACAGATGGAGGATGATGAAATCCGTGTGGATATTAGTAAGCTAGAGGAGAAACACAATGAACAGGTAGTTTCTCGATGGAGTTATTGAAACTCTAATACACAATCTGATATTTTCTTTTTCTTTTTCCTTTACATTATTGTTTTCACCCTTCCATTTATGATAACTGTCATTAGATATTCAACAAATTCTTTCTTTCTTTTTTGGCCTGCTACTTTATTTATTTGTTGGATTTTCCATCATAAAGTTCAAGCTTGTTCTGAGAAGTTCATTTTGTAATTTTGTGGTGAATGCAATAGGTTTCAAAGAAGAAAGTTTTGCTTGATAAACTGTTGAAAGCTGCCTCAGAAACAAGAGCAATTCAGGAGAAGTAATATTTTGTCCTTTCTCTCCATATATTTTTGTATGCGTTTACCTTTTTAAGTTAAAGTCTTTGGTGCCTAGCTCATCATAAGCATATCATTTTTTATATAGGGAATTCGAACAACATGCCCTTGACAAACTTGTTACGATGGCTTATGAAAAGTACATGGTAATTCTCTTAATGTTCGGTCTCCTTTTACTTTTGGTTTTCATTTGCACACACATACACACAATGTCTTATGTCTGGGGTGCCCAGAACCAAGTCTGTTGTGCCAAAGTGATGTAGGAAAGCCCATTAGCATGAGAAGATAGAAACTAAGCTCTGGTTTAGAAGAAAAAGTTAAAGGATTTCAAGGAAATAGTTGTCTGGATGGATTAAAACCAACAAAGAAAGGAAATAGAAAAAATCATAAGTAAATGGGCAGGATGGGAGTATTGTTTAACCATAACCAATTGCTGAAAAAAAAGCCCACCAAAGTTGGTGAAAATCTTCTGTTGAGGGGAGGGCTACCTCCTATGGGGTGGTTCAAAGTTCAAAATCCTCATGATATTCAGATAGTGAAGAGAACATCTCAACATAGGTCGGAGAAATCTTTTGGTTGCTATCTAAGTTCCAAGCGCATAATGCTTCTCCATTTCTCCTTGATCTTATATTTGGAATCTGTTTCAATCATGACTATCACATGTTTGACTGTCATCTCAGTTGTGGCAGGCTACTTTCTCCTTCCCCTTCCTGGTAAATATGCCTGGGTGCTCTCTTTCAACATTCTCAAGAATTAATTATTTTGTCACTTTTGAGTCTCTGGGGTTTAGATGGTGGAAATTCTTTTAAAAACCTTATGAGGAATTTGGCCTGGAGATATTTATATAATAACTCTTACAGTCTTTTCATTCTCTTTAGCTGCATAGATGACAAAGGTAGTTAGAAAGCGAAGAACTGAATGGTTGTTAGGGCTTTTTGTTGCAAAATGTTATATCATAAATGGGATATTGTCTTGAAATTCGAGTTTGCTTCTAGTTTTTCTCCCCTCCATAGTTTCCTACCAAGGCGGATAAATCTGCTTGATTCTCTGTGTGTGTTATAGCTTTTCATTTTCCATTGAGAAATTTTAATTATCTAAAAGTTGGACTGTTTATTTACCCATTAATTATCATGCTAGATGCTGACATATTATGATATGATACTGGTATTCTATTTTTGATGATTTTTTAATAATTTTTTAATAGACTTGTTGGGGTCCTAATGCTGCTGGTGGGAAGAGTTCCAGTAACAAAATGATCAAGCAAGCTGCCTTAGCATTTGTTAAGCGGACATTAGATCGATATCTTAAATTTGAAGATACAGGCAAGAGCTGCTTTGATGAGCCCATGCTTAAAGACATGTTTCTTTCTGGGTCTTCCCAGCTAAATGGTGTACTATCAGTAGATACTCCTACAGATTGTGAATCTGGAAAGCCATGCGCTAACAGCTCCACCCATTCTCTGGAAGCTAGAATGTCAGGTATTTACTTGATGCCTATGGAGAGAGTACATGCTTTAATTCCCACGTGTGTTTGGTCCCTTGCAATGTAATCATCTGCAAAATGTTTTCATGGTTCTTTTTTTGCAGTCTGCAGAACTCTATCTTCTGCTTCTTCATTCTCCATTTTTCTTTGCCTTATGGTGTAATTCAGTTGTGGATTGTCACTCTGGTCTCTTATGCAAGCTTCTATGGTTTCTCACATACAACTACTTCTTTGGCAGGTCAAAATAGGGATAGCTATGCTGTTAATTCTTCTGATCTTCTTCCACCCACAAATCAGTTATCTGATCAAACAACTGTTAAAGATGAATCATTGTCTAACAGGGTGAAAAAGAGAGAGTTATTACTAGAGGATGTAGTTGCTGGTACTATTGGTATTTCGAGTTCCCAGGCAGGCATTGGAAGTTCTTTGTCAAGCAGTACAAAAGGAAAGAGGAGTGAGAGAGACAGAGAAGGAAAGGGACATGGTAGAGAGGTTTTATCTAGAAATGGAACTAATAAGATTGGTCGACCAGTATCCAATGTTAAGGGGGAAAGGAAATCAAAAACAAAGCCTAAGCAGAAAACAACTCAGCTATCTGTTTCTGTAAATGGCGTTCTTGGCAAGATGTCAGAGCAACCCAAACCAGCTACTTCTGTATCAAAGCCAAGTGAGATAACTGCCAATAATAATGCCAAAGAAAAAGATGAGTTTAGCCTGGATGTATTGGATGACTTGCAGCTACCAGGACAAGATCTGGGTTCATGGTTGAACATTGATGATGATGGATTACAAGAACATGACTTCATGGGCCTTGAAATTCCAATGGATGATCTTTCTGAGTTGAATATGATGGTTTGAGTTGCTTTCTTTGTATAGTCTTGTTCATTATACTGTTAACAAACAAAAACATGATCACTGTCATCAAGAAATGACCGTTACATGGATGGTTGTTTTGGCTGTCCGGTCCACAATTAGGTTACATAGATTCTTTGTAGACTCCACAAGTTGATTTTCGGGTGAACCATTTGAACATCATGAATTTTTCTTGTAAGTTGGTGACTTCGACTGAAAAGATCTTTTGTTCCTACCAATTAGTATGTCTAGCAATTATATCTTAGCAAACACTGTATCCTGGCTGTAGCTTTACAAATCAGAGAGCAATGCTCTTCTTGTACATACATTTATATTCCCAATAAAATTAGTTTTTTTTTCCCAGTGTAATTATACCTTGTAAACATAATCATATAGGGTTTTCTTTCCTGGTTTTCTGGTTTATGTGCCTTTAATTTCACTTTACCAACTGCAGTTGCAGTTGAAAGTTGTTGTATCAGATGTAATTTCTCCTTAGGTTTGTTCATGAAGAAGTTTCTCTTCCAAGGCTAAGAGGTAAGAATGTTCAATGAAGTGTCAATTCAATAATTTCAATCAGAAAAGATGATTTTGGTACTGACTGGCGACTATTAGCTCTATGTGTTTCCTGCTTTATTACTTGAAGTTGCAGGTTCTCACTTCAATAATCTCAGGAACTATGGTAAGATCTTTATCCTCTGCATTTGTTAACATCATACTAAAAAGTTTATGTTAAGCTTATACTATAAAGTCTTTGCATCATATTCAAGCTTCTTTTTAGTGTGGTTCTAGGATACTGACTTCTTATTGTTTTGCTTTGCATTCCTTCCCCTCCCCTCTCTCAGTAATAAGTCTAAAATGTTTGCAGGTAAAACTGCTCTCTTAAATTTTCTGATCAATATGTGTCTACCTGGGACTGAATGCTAGAATGCCATCCACCATATTTTGATAAACCTGCATTACACTGAGGTAAATCCGGAATACCTTGTTCTAGTCTTGGCTATAAACTTCTGTTTCGTTCTCTCATATTTTTTTTTTTTTTTGTTCCTTTGAAAGGCAAGGCACCGATTTTAGGAAACTGTTGAAGGATTGGCAGTGGAGGCTCTTATTCTGTAATGTTCATCCACTGCAGTTTAAAGCTTACATTTGAGTTCATGTTTCTCAACTTGCTTTATATAAAAAGTTTGATATATAGGAGGGACTGTAAGAATCTGGTCTTGTTCATATTGAGAATTAATTTCCATTATAATTTTTCCTTTAGAACGGTAGATTTTAGGCTTGAGTATACCTTTGCTTTTGTTCATATCATCCTAGCCAAGGCCTTCAGATTGGAACTCTGGATCAATATCCTAGTTACTTCGTCCCTTTTCAATGTTTTCATATTAATGCACTTTAACATGTTTCATATCCTTCGCTGCTTCACTTCATGTCAAAATCTAGCTGTTTTTCTGGACGATGCTGTACATTGTTCATGTATTGGCATCCTTTGAGCGTCTCAGAATTCGTTTGGAACTCTCGACTCTTTCTCATAATAATTGCAAAGCCTTTGTTTGGTTACTCCAATAGGGGCCAAATCTTTAATGAATTTTGTTCAGTTTCTTGAAATTATTCCTGTATGTTCTGGTTCGAGAGTCTGAGTTGCAAAACAAAAGAAGGAAATTGTTGAGGTTGGCCTATTTTTCTATGTTCATTATAGCAACTATCAGAAACCACCTCCTTGTTGCATTCATATAAGCTTTATGTTTGTATGAAAATTTTCCTCATTGGTTACATTAATTTCAGACTCATGCATATTTTTCCCTTAAAGAAGCCTACAAAAAGCAGCACCATCTTGAAGAAAGCATCAAGATATCGATGATGCAGGCAGGCAAGCAAACAATTCGTCACTTTCCATTCTCTGATCTGATCCAATACAATTCGTTTTTCCAGCAAGTTTTACAATTAATGCTTTAGTTCTTGATGATATATGACAGCATTACTATTGGATTGCAAGCTAAGGACATATTTTTTTAGAATCCTTGAATGCCTAGGTCATCATAGCAGCGGCTCTATTAGTAGATTAGTTTCATCGTCCTCGCTTTGTTCCTTGATGATTGAAGTTAGCTGCAAAGGCTGGTGATTCAATTCCCCAAACCCCTCTTTCCCATACCCACCACCCCTGTTCACGGTTTCAATTGATAATTCTGCTGGTGAGGCAGAATTCGAGTTCTAAATTTTACATGAAAAAAGGGAAATAAAAATAATTCAAAATTGAGTTCAATCGATTCATATAATCATTCTTAAGAAGTGAAATTCAATAAGTCTGAAATTCAAATTTTAACATATACAATCTCTTCTCTTATACTTAGGTTGCGGTTTCCTTATAATTCCTTTGTACCCAAAAAGAAGGAAAATAACAAAAAAATCACCCATGTCCATCCCGCGCGCTGGTTCAGTCAAGAGTAAACTTCACACAACATTCCATAATCAAATTGTGGGATGATATCATATTTCGCATTTCAGCAGATAGCTCCTTAGAGAAAGGAATTTTCTGTATGAAAAAACAATGGAGATAGATCTAACATTCTTATAAGGTATGAGTCGGAAAGATTGTCAAATTATTGTTCATTGAAGAATCAACCAGATTACAACTAACCATAACAATGCGGATGACCCTAAATTTGCCACATCTTAAGGTCAAACCATGCTTAATACGAACTCAAGTGCATGCAAATGTGATAGGTCCCACAATCTAAACAGAACTAATCCACCCGGAACTCACATAGGTAGGTAAAAATTGTCACTTTCCATTATCCAATTCAGTACAATGTCTATTTCAGGAAGCTTATAAAATTGTTCTTGATATATGACAGCATTAACTTTCAATTATGAAACAATAATACACAGCCGCAAGCTGTACCTCACACTCCGAGTGCTCTGGCAAGAAATATTTATCTCCGATGCCTAACTTTGGACGCTGTAATCACAACAGCCGCTCAAATAAGTCCCGCACTTTAGTCACAACAACACCACAACTAAAATCTTCCATGCTTCCACAACTTTGAGTTCTGCTGACATTCTTTTGAGTCCTATTCGCTCAGTCTGAACTCTGCCAAAAAGAATGCGATAGTGTTGGTTTCACTTTAAAAGGCAGAGTCCTAAAGTAGTAGAGAGCATCACCATGTAAGAATATTATGACACCAAACACACGCATAGGCATACCACAAAAGTTCTAAAGAGTTGCAAGTGGTGATCCTGCATTGTTGAAGTAAGATGAGAGGTCCACATCCAAGTCATCATACATGTTCAAGAAAGGAAGTGCCTGTAATCACATTGAAGACTATATGTAAAGTATCTTTAACAGAGATTTTAATTGATTTTTTTCTACTTGAAAATAAAGGTGCCATAGAGGAATTGAGATATTTATATACCAGCAGTTCATGTGCCGACTTTCTTTCCTTTGGGTCTTTCTTTAAACTGCCATGGATAAAAGAACCCAAGGCGGGCTTGGTAAACTCATACAATCAAACAATTTTATAAAATCCAACCGAAAAAAAAAAAAAAAAACCAATTGCAGACGCTATCTCTCCAGTATCAAAAGGATACTAATAAATGATCTCTTCTAACATAATAACAATTTGATGAAAACTTTTGATTTAATACAAAACTCAATAACTCATTATAGTGCAAAAATATTCTAGAACATCTTTTAAGGCAAGTGTACCAAGTAGTAACTCATTCAAAAAATAATCTTTACCATGCAGAAATAAATGAGCAAAACTCAGGAGAAAATTGCTCGGAAGGTGCCCAAGGTGGTGGTTGTTCAACAATTTGTTCCATGAGCTCATAAAAATTAGTCCATCCTTCTGCCTGCTCTGGTGGGGAATATGGGAATTGACCAGTTGCACACTCGAGCAACACTAGCCCCAAGCTCCAAATGTCACTTTTATTGCCATAATTGCCACCGATAATTCTCTCTGGCTACAAAAAAAAGAAATATACATTAAAAAACTAATAAGTTTTGAACAAATAAGAACAAAATACACTCTAGACAACAAAAAAACAGTATTTTGCTAATGCAAATTACTTACAGACATATAGTTGTACGTCCCTACAAAAGTGTTTGCTAGTCCTTGAGTGCTTGTCATTATCGCACTCACACCAAAGTCAGTGATCTTGACTTCTCCTCTATGATTTATTAACAAGTTAGAAGGCTTTAAGTCTCGGTGGATAATGTGTCTTTCATGATGAAGATACATCAAACCATTGAGCACCTGCATTAATGAGATGAATTTCAAAATGCATGCATACTATAATTAATTTGAAGTTCAAATGTACCAACCTGCTTACATATTGCAGCAAGATAGTGCTCAGGAATGGATTTAACATTTTTCAGAAAGTCTGCAAGGGATCCACCATCCATATACTCCAAGATGATTGAAATGGCACCATTAGTATAGAAAGACTGATAACAAACAACAACATATGGGCACTGAGAGGACTGATTTATTTTCAATTCCTTTGCAATCTGCTTGCGAGCTGACTCCTCAATATTCATTTGAATAATCTGATAAAAGAAGATTAGCCAGAATTTAAGATATTGTTAGAATAACATACAGATGCAAAACTAAAAATGCATTTCCATTTTACGTTGTTTATTTGGCTAGCTCCAGTTTTAAAAAGGAACAACAAGATATGTTTAGAATAATGGCTTCTATGAGATCAAGAAAGGCTGAACATGCTCCATTAATTCATAGTGTAGCCAACAACAGTTTCATCTCTATAACAGGAAATAGATTATGATAAATCTGTCAAGCACGATTTAGGAGACATTTATCATCTTCTAACCAATGAATCAGTTTCCAGGAATCAAGGGGTTGACTTGAGTTGGCATAAGGTAAACGAATAACTTCAAAACAGAATTCTGGCACTTTAACTTTATAAGCCAGAACAACCACTGAAATTACATTTTTTGTAAACTAGGGCATTATCAAATTTAACTGTAAATAGAAAAATCAAAGGTTCAAGGAACCAACTTTTGTTTTTTGCTCCCAACAAGACAAATTTCCAACTTCACACAATGTAATTTCCTTACCGTAGAGGTGATATATGTAACAAATCATGCAAAGGTTGTTGAAAGGGCATTACTTCTTGCTTAACAAAAAAACAGACAATGAAAAAAATTTTTTTAAAAAATGAAAATAAAAAAGCGTTAAACTTGGCACTTGGATTTATACCTTCAATGCAAAAAACTGACCAGTCCATTTGTGTTGGACCAATTGTACAATTCCACCATTACCCTTACCGATAACTTTAATAGCATCGAAATCTTCTATACTCAACTGATTGTCATTGTCAGTTACTGATGGCTTAATAAGCGGAGGCTAAAACAAAAAAAAAAAAAAAAGAGTTTTCATCAATTAATAAATTTGCTTGGTAACATCTTTTTGGTCAAGAGCAATCTAGAGATGCATAAAAAGTCAGAGAATTTGAACAATGAAAAACATTTAAAAAAAAAAAGAAGCAAATTCATTGAAAATGAAAAATCTTACAGCTTCAGGTTCGGATTGAGAGACAATTCGAAGTCCGTCCTTGTTGACGAGGAGATCGCCGTCTTTAAATGTACCGCTTTCGGTTCTGCCACGAAAAAACCATCACCAAAATCAAACTTAAAAGAAAGTAGAAATTTTGAATGAGTGGACATAACAATTATTATCATTACAGAAATTTGGCGAAGGAGATCTCCGCTGAAGGAGGAAGAGACAGCTTCAGATTAGCGTTTAAAGCTCCCTTTCCCTTCATCATTTCTTTCTTCTCTTCGGTTTCTTCTTTCTTTTTGTTGATACAGTGGAAGGCACTCAGTCTTCGTTTTCATATAAGGATTCCCAGATTTAGATTTTGCAGAGAGAGAAAAAGGGGATATTTAAAAAATAAAAAAATTTTGATTTTGAGGGTTTTATGGTTGGTAGAGAGAGAAGAGACCAGTCTTCCTCCATGACATGACAGCCACGACCTCACTTCCCATTACTTTCCTTTAGTTTACCCGCGCCTTTTTTTTTTTATTTTTAAGATTAATATATTATTTTAACTAACTTTTTAATCTATTCGTTATTTATTAAGAAAAAGAGCCGGCAGGTTCGAGTGGTTAAGATTTAGTATTTTGCTGTAAAATATTTAGATTTAAAATTTTAAGCTCTTATTTTAAAAGGTGATTTATAAATTTAAAAAATTTTAAAAAATTAATAAATTTTTCTATGAATTAACTAACTTGTCATTTTCGAAATAAGGTAACGTCGCATTTTTTAAACTTATTGTGAAAAAAAAATTTGTTAAAGAAAATTTAAATTTATAAATATTACTTTATTTTTTCACAATTTCACTTTCATTTAACTTTTTTTATTTTAGTTTTTAGATAACCATCCCTACTCTTTTTCTATTGCATGGCATATTTGTCCGATATAATTTATTTTGTTTTTGTTTTTGTAATTTTTAAATGCAAATAAACTTCCAAATGTGAAACACTAGAAATGAGACTCTTAAAAACCAACTTATTCATCGTTTATACTTAATAGTCGTTGAAAACTTGAATTAGCAAAAAATTCAATTTATTACCTATAAAGATCAGTCTGATCATCATGGTTCATATCATTATAAAGTATTATTCATTTTAGTCTCTTTGACCTAATAATTTTATCTTACAAAAAAAACCTCATAAGAAAGAGTTAGTGTGAACCCTTTTATACCCCAGTGACTTTCCTATTATGTTTGAGAAGATGTAATGTGAACCTTTTTATATCCCAGTAACTCTCATATTATATTTGATGTGAGATTCATGACTATTCTTTAGGTCTGTGACATTCTTTCCCACCCAACCTCGTGACACCCTCGTCACGGAGGCTGATCACCCTGCCTACCTCCTTCGAGGAGCTTGACGTAAATCGAACGATTTAGGGCTGACTTTGATACCACTTGTACGGGTCGAGACTTAAGCTCTGAACCTGCGCGGCTCCGAGACCTGAGCATTCACCTTTTCGACGTCCCAGATCAGCCTGACCGCTACGATTCACGGTCTTGTGAGGTATTATCTGCTCTGATCCCTCTAACTTCACGATTTTATCTTACAAAAGGTATCTCACAAGGAATTGGTGGTGTGAATATTTTTATACCCTAATGACCCTCTTATTATGTTCGATGTGAGATTCTAGATTCTTCCTTAGGTCCGTGATAATAGCATGTCGAGAAACTTTAATCAACCCAACTTAAAGTATATAGATTATGAAATTAATTTTGATAAAATTAAAAATAATGATGAAAATAAAATTAATTATTATAATAATAAAATTAAAATCAATTATAAAATATATGTTTGAAAATAAAATAACAGTGAATGTAAATGACCATTAAAAATTGGACTTAAAAGATAAAAATGTAAAAAAGAAAAGAAAAATAATTTACAAAGTTGATAATAAAAAGTGCTGTGGGTGAAATTTTTCTTAATATACCTAAAAGATTAAGTGAAAGACTAAAGGCAAACGTGCCTTATGGATGTTCTCCAAACACCGTCCGTGATAAGATTAAAATAAAAAATGAGGATAAATCGCATCGAAATGGCGTAACAGTGTGATCCAAATGATCTCTTAACCAACCAGACGGACATGTGCTTCTATCATGGCTACACTCTGAGATAAGTCAGCTAATACATTGCAAAATAAAATACCAATAAGATTCAGTTTCGTTGCCATCTTCTCTGACAGAAAGCTCCTCAGAAGCTTACGTCTCAGTCCATCAAATTGATCTGGAATTTCAGCTCAATCTTAGTTCAGTTAGAAGAATGCCCCACATCTCAAGAATGGTTATAGGAACTAGCAGCTTACCCTGATTCACTTGGCTTTCAAACGACCACCAAGGAGCTTAAAGATGGAATTTCTAGTTACTTGCAGCAGCAACAAATGACAGTGTTTGTACAACTCAGCCTGATTAAAAGACATTGCTTAAAACATTTGTAAAGAACATAACTAACCCCATACATTCCCATGAGACTAATTCTCTGGTCACAACTAGAACAGTTTTGCCATTCTCACAACACAACCCTTTATTAGCAGTCACATCTGATGCCTAAAAATCCTTGTTCTCAACCTCCAGAAGCCACCTTTTGCCAATTGGCCTAGTATTGTGGCCTGTTGTACGGCAAAAGCAAAAAAAGACTTTGGATTCTGGAATGGGTCTGGGCTTGGACATTTTCTTCTTTACTTCTGCGCTTAGCTTAATAGATCCGACTAGGGCTGTAAACGAGCCGAGCCGAGCTGAGTAGTGAGAAGCTCGAGCTCGAGCTCGACTCACAACTCCGGGCTCGATACTCGGCTCGAGCTCGATCGAGTTTTATTTTTTAAGCTCGAGCTCGATTCGTGATCGAATTCGAGCTACTCGAGCTCGCTCGATTAAGCTCGATTAATATGTAAAAATAAGCTCGATTCGTATACTCGACAAGAGTTCGATTATTCATGTTCGAACTCAACTCGAACTCGGATTCGAAATATTTTATTAATTAAAAAAAATAAAAATATATTTAAATATAAAAGCTCGATTAGGCTCGCGAGCTACTCGAGTCAGATATAAGAATACTCGAATTCAGCTCGATCGGTAAATCGAGCTACTCGAGCTCGAGCTCGACTCGACAATAATCGAACCGAATTCGAGTTTTTTTCGAATCGAACCCGAGTAACTTGCGAGTACTAATGTATCATTTACACCCTTAGATCCGACGGATGGAACATCTAAAAGCTTGTCCGCTCTTACTTGTCAAAGTCGAAGAACAAAAAATTGTATTAAAGTAATAAAATATTAGTCATGTTTTTAAAGATTATAGTAATAATTATTTAAAATAAAAATAATAATAACGGATAAATGTGTTTTTTATTAGTTCAAGTAAAACAAATTATTAAAAAAATTAATTACAAAGTTATTATGCAAAAAAATAAATTAACGTATCATATGATTGTTAAGATCTCATTTGATAAATTTATTAATAAATCTTTAAATAATGTTGAGTGTCATTTAAAAAAAATTGAGTATTGTGTAGCCCGTACATTAATCAAATTACATTTTTATAAGAGTGATAATAATTTGAATAAGTTTGGATTCAATTTATTTTTTTTTGAGTAATACATAAAATTATACATTTTTAAAATTAGATTGAGCCCAATCAAATTTTCATATGATGTGATTTAAATTAAATTTTATTAATTTAATTTGATTTAATTTGTTGAATAATCCTTAAAATATTTGTTGAGTTGTCCATATTCTATTAGTTTATTATCTTTACTTGTCTTAGTCTAATCTTTGGCCACTTAATAAATTTATTAATTGACATGGGAGTTCTATTCCTAATCTTTAGGATTACAAGTAGTTGCTATTTTTCAAATGAATAATATGTATTGCAGATTTCCTTTTCTATATATCTACTTAATTTTCATATATTAGCATATAGTCTTATTCAATTTGAGCGGTTAATCTGAATTCTTTATCAAGTCCACCAAGTGTATGAGGAAAATCTTGAGTGAGTTTTATCTTTTGTAGGCTCTGTTTCTGATATGTGGTATCAAACGGCACATTGAATAAACAAAAGGCAGCAGCAGTAGCAAAAATGACTTCCAAAACATTTGTGCAACCAATTATTCCTCATTTTGATGGTCACTATGATCATTGGAACATGTTGATGGAGAACTTTCTAAGGTCGAATGAGGATTGGGATGTAGTTGAGACTGGAATAGTAAAACTAGTAGCCGGTATGAATGATGCACAAAAGCCAAAGTTGGAAATATTAAAGCTGAAGGATCTGAAGGTAAAAAATTTTTTCTTTCAGGCAATTGATAAGACAATCTTAGAGATTATTCTTTTCAAAGATACCTTTAATCAGATTTGGGACAAAATGAAGAAAAAGTACTAGGCATCCGCAAGGGCAAAGAGGCAGCAACTTCAAGCATTTCATTCGGAGTTTAAAACACTTCGAATGAAAAAGTTTTCGAACTCTAAACGAAAGAGTGAGAGTCAGTTACAGACTATATTTTGAGGACAATGGCAATTGTCAACAAAATGAGGACTCCTGGTGACAAGACATAAGATGATACCATTGTTGAGAAGATACTCCAATCCATGACACCAAAATTTAATTTTGTTGTTTGTGCTATTGAGGAGTCTAATGATCTTGATGAATTATCACTTGATGAACTCTAAAGTTCTTTACTGGTTTATGAAAGAAAGCTAAATTGGCAAGATTAAGGTGAGCAAGCTTTGAAGGCCTCAGTTTATAACCATTCTGCAGCACCAAATAGAGCAAGCAGAGGAAGAGGTCGTCGTAAAGGACATATAGAGAGGAAATACCACAACGTTAGCATTAAGAAAATCAATCCTATGATGCTTAGGGAAAAGGATGGGGCATGGAAGATCTCACTCGGCTGCTTACAGATCAAGGACAGAAGATAAGTCCAATGTTAAGTGCTATAGGTGCCATAGGTATGGTCATTACAAATATGAATGTCAAACTAATCTACAAAAAAAAAAAGATAGCAAAATTAATTTTTGTAGAAACAGAACATGATGAGGAGATTTCTCTGTTAATCGTTTGCTATGCTAAAAAAGAAACCAATAGGAGGAACTTGTGGTATTTAGACATCGGCTGCAGCAACCATATGTGCGGAGACAAGTCAATTTTCTCCAAATTAGATGAATCATTCCGAGATAATATGAAGTTTGGAGATAATTCGAAGGTTTTGGTCAGAGGAAAAGTGTAGGTAACCATTCAAACTAGAGGAAATTCCACTCAAACAATTTTCAATGTCCTTTATGTTATAGAATTGAAGACCAATCTTCTAAGTATTGGTTAATTACAGGAGAAGGGTTATGAGATTGTCATCAAAGGTGGGGTATGACGAATTCAAGATGCCAAGTTGGGCTTAATTGTTCAAGTCAAAATAACTCATGACAGGATGTTTCTTATTCATCTCAGTAGCATTAATCAGTTATGTTTC